CCATTCTTGGTGCCTTTCTGGCTAATTAATGATCTTACCTGAGTTTTGTTGGTGAAGTTCATTAATGGTGAAATAACCGTAGGGGTTTCAATGGGATGAGAGGCACTTCTGAAGATACAAATCTTAAACATATTTAAAATATGACTCAGAAAGGATGCTGTAGAAAATGATTACTAAAAAAAAAAAATACAAGAATAATAGCAGATGCTAAGATTTCTGTCCCAAGACTTACAAAAGCCGAAAGATCCGTTGGAGGAACAGCAGAGGGAGCTATGTGGGGCTTCTTTTCTTGATGAAGCCTTTGGGCTTCTTTAGGGGGCTAACTTCCTGACAGTGGGATTGGCAAAAAGTTCCTGTGTTAAGCAAGGACGATTTAAGTACATTCTGCAACTTTGGCCTTGTAAGCTGCGATCATTTTTAAGGTTGACGAGCACAGTTCACTATGAAATGAAGCAAGGAACTTGGCATTTATACATTGTGAGTCAATTTTGACATCAGCCTGGATTGGGAATTCACTGGAAGGGTTTGGGGTTGGACTGTGGCTACACTTCAGTGTCTCGATCCAGAGGCATGCATGAGCAATACTTCCCTTTGGGCTTTGGCCATTAATTTGTGGAATGGAGCAAGAACTGGAGAGGAAAATTGAGAGACTGCCTTGGATTTCCTGACGTCCTGTTGAATCAAAAAGCAGTGGGAGGCCCTTTCCTTCCTGACAGGCCCCATCCCTTCCCATGAAATTCCCAGCATCTGTCTCCATGGTAGGGACAGTCCCTCTCTAACCCATACCCTAAATCCAGGGTCATCCCTGGGCGACTGTTTGCGTTCTGCCTCTTCCAGGTGTTTTCCAGGCCATTTCCCCTGATTATGTAACTTTGATCAAATCCAGATGCTGCAGAATGTTTGATAGAAGAGGTCAAATGGCATTTGAGAAGAAAGCATTTCTGTATTCAGGCCTTTGGTTTAATTTCCTGTGTGGGCCTGGTCTTCCAGAGTTGTATGCTCATGGCCACAGGGTTGGGACACCAGAGGGAAACACAAATACTTTTTCAGGACAACCGAGAAGATTCCTTTCTCCCCCAGTGCACTTTTCATGTTAGATGATCACTTACATAAGCGTCAGCTAGCTCTGATTTATAACAGTTTCCCTATTTTTGTACTTGTTTTCTGATTATAAGAATAATCCACATTCATTGCGAGAAATATGCAAAAATATAGAAAAGAATAAAAAATACAAATGTTTGTTATCCCTCCACTTTAACTACTTTTGATGGAACTGTTAACACACTGTGCACATTTTGGTGTCATTCTTCTGGACTTTTTTCAATTTTTATAAAGTTGGGAATTGTTACGAGTATATTCCCAAGCCATTAGATATTTTTTCCAAAAGCATTTTGAATGGATTTGTGATATATTCTATTTTATGGATGGGACCACAAACTAACTTGTATTGATCAGTATTTTGTACTTTTTCTTATCTGTGCTGTTAGTTGAAAATCAGCATATTCAAATCGTTGTGTGGATCTCTTAGGATAAATTCCTAGAGGTATATTAAAGGTTATAATGCAACAGCAGCTCTTTTGACTTGCTTCCACGAAACTGACTTGCTGAATTGACCTGCGCTGCGTTTCCTTCATAACGCACATGGGCCTCCCCTTCCCCGCTGCCTGAATCGCAGCCACACCAGCAGCCAGTTGTGTTTCTTCCCACATCTGTTTATTTCAGATATACTTGTTTTAATTATTTGGTTAGTATGACACCGGTGAAATCCAGATGTTTAAGAAAATGAAAATGTGTGCTTTAGACGGACTCCATATATCAAGGCAGGTAACTTTAAAAATTGCCATGGGACCAGGTGTGAGGGAGGCCAACTAGAGATGATTGAAAGGGGTTGTACTGGGTTACCTGGCAAATGGCTCTGAGCTCTCCCTCTACCAGCAGGAAAGTGAGCCGGAAGTGAGATGATACAGCACAGGTAGGACGCACGGAAGATAGCACCCAGCTGTCATCGCATGCCCACACTCGAAAGGACCGCCCTGGGCCCTGTAGTCAAGACTAGCAAACCAGTACATTTAGGTGTTTTGTTTTATTTTTATTTATTTATTTATTTATTTAGCTGAGCCGTCCTGCCACCTGTTGGCAGCTCAGTGGCAGCTCAGCTCGGTCCGGGACTCAAACCGCTGTTGCTCAGAGCTCACACTCTTGAGCGAGCTGCTAACCAACTGAGCCACTAGGCCGGCCCTCAGGCGTTTTATTAAAAGCACAACAATTCCCCACCTTAACCAGCCTTTTTTGGTTAATCAGTTCCTGGTCATGATGGTGCTAAACACACGTTTAGAGCCAGCGTAAGGACCCACAGAGCAGGGCCTAACACACCACTCAGCCTTTCCCACGTTCCAGGGATGGTCGTGTTGTTACCAGACCCTCGTCTTGACTTATCTTTGCCCCCATGACTCATAAGATGAAATTACCAAGCATGGTAATGACATAATTTGGGATTTACTCTTTGAGAAAAACAATTCCTGAAGGTTTACTTCAGTCAGTGGTACAAAAACTAGAATTGAAAGACCTTCATTATTGATGTTCTACTGGTTTGTTCCAAAGAGATATTTTAAAGAGTATCCATTTCTGAAAGTTCTCCAGTCATGTTTCTGGAAGTTTAGCTCAGTCCCTCAGATGTCTTAGGTGCCTCCAGAGGGTTATTTGTTTGTTTCTAAGTGAACACTGCAGAACCAGGCCCACCTCTGAGATGGGTGTTATTGCCCAAGAAAAGATGTTTGGGTGTCCTCTAAATCCATAAAGAGAGAAAATTAAAACAATTTTGTTTTGTTACCATTTGGGTTTGCCTTAAGCATATGGTAGATCCTTCCATTCTTTTCAAATTGGAATTTTCCCCCTTCACCCCCCCTCCTTTTTTTTCGTCGCATACATCCACTTTCTGCATTTTTTTAAAAAAAGATTTTATTGGGAATTGAAGGAGGGAACAGTGTTGGGGAATTGGGGAAGGGCAACAGACAAGTTGTCCTTTGGTTCTTCAGTCTAGTTGTGGAGGACGTCACTTCACTGGCCCATGTTAGTATTGTGATCATTGCGCTCTTCCCGGGTGAGGCAGACTGGTCGCCAGCCATTGGATGGCCGCTCAAGGCAGCTCATAGCAGCTCACGCCGGCTGCCGGCCGTTCACGCCGGCTCACGGCAGGCAACTCAAACGGTAGCTTACAGCAGCCCACTGCAGCCCACGCCATTGCCGGCGACTCACCGCAGCCCAGCTCCAGTCAAGCTGTTGTTCACCCTCTTAGCTGTAGAGGGCGCAGCGTCACTGGCCTTCATGTGGGATCCGAACTGGGGCTCTGCTGCTCAGAGCTGGCGTCCCAAGCCAACTCTTAACCAATGCACCACTCAGCCAACCCCCGCCCTTCCCCCCTTTTAAGTTTGATTTCTTTTTTTTTTTAAAGATTTTTTATTGGGGAATTGGGGGGATGGGAACAGTGCTGGGGAATTGGGGGAAGGGGAACAGACAAGTTGCTGTCGTTTTGTTCTTCAGTCTAGTTGTGGAGGATGTTGCTTCACTGGCCCAAGTTGGCACCATCATTGCGCTCTTCCCGGGCGAGGCAGATCAGTCGCCGGCTTCTGGATGGCCACTCACTGCGGCTGCTGGCCGCTCACGCTGGCTGCTGGCTACACACGGTAGCCCATGGCAACCCACTGCCACAGGGGCTGCAGCCCACGCCGTCGCCGGCGACTCACGGCAGCCCAGCTCCAGGTTGAGCTGTTGTTCAGCATCTTAGCTGTAGAGGGCAGTGTCACTGGCCCTCATATGTGGGATCCGAACCGGGGCCCTCTGGCATCTCCAGCCAGTTCTTAACCATCGCGCCACTCAGCCGGCCCTTAAGTTTGATTTCTTAACTGTAGTTTCCTTGAGTATTCAGATTTCACTCCATAATAGCCTACAACTGTTAAGATCTACTTGGAAATTTGCTGGTTTCAAAGAACCCTTGTGCATATTTGTTATCATAGGGAAATTCTAGAGTTTGAGTGTAATTCAAGAAAAAAAGAAAGATAAGAAGAAACTTCAGGAAAAAATAATGAACTATTTGACCCTGTAGTGTGAGCAGTAGTCACACATTCCTAACATGTTTAGTATTCCTAAAGAGATGTTGATTGGTTTTCAACTTTAAGAATCTACCTATAGACAAAACATGAAAGATTTTATTATTACAGAATAGAAGGAGCTTATAAATTTTTGCCAGGTAAAAGAAAATATAAAGAAGGCCATATTTGAGAGTGAGGGAAGCTGGAAGGAAGGATAGGCTGTTCACATCCTTATCTGATGAAGTCAGTAGTTGAGAGATACTGTCTCCAGCTAGTGGAACAAGACATAAAGGTGTAGGTCTGTTACTGAAAATACACAGGTAACCAGTAGAGGATGGCACAGGAGAGATGGGGGAGGTGGAGCAGGGGTTATAGGGATACAGCTTATCTTTAGAGAGATGGAAGTGATCTCCCCAAAAATAGCTCTTGTCTCTGGGTGTAGAGAAGAGTGGGATAGAAAATGTTTGCCTTTCAGTATAAGCCCTTCTGTACTATTTGATTTTTAAATTATGTGCATCTATTAACTTTAATACATACAAAAATGTTTTAAAGCAAGAAACTTTCCCTCCATATTGTAACATAAGCAATGGCAGATGTATGAAGATGGGCTATTTCCATTTCTAACTGAATTCATTTTGAATTAATGAATTTTAAAAGCTTAAACTATTTGAGAACAGTAGTTAACACATTGGAATGAAAATGCATAGTGTTTTTCACAAGATTTGGGAAAGGAAGAGTTCATTTTTTAAACCACCTTTCTTACTAATATGTAATACGTGCGGGAGTTAAGAAACAAAATAAATTAGGAATGTGTAATGTTGGCAATACCTTTTTTGTTCCTGAGAATACAATTAATTTTCCCCCCAATTCTTCTCCCTGTTTCTTTCTTCTCTTTCCCCCTTTCTCTTCCAGAAGCCCTCCAAAGGCCAGTAGCATCTGACTTCGAGTCCCAAGGTCTGAGCGAAGCGGCTCGTTGGAACTCCAAGGAAAACCTTCTCGCTGGTCCCAGTGAAAATGACCCCAACCTTTTCGTTGCGCTGTATGATTTTGTGGCCAGTGGGGATAACACTCTCAGCATAACTAAAGGTAAAAAGGCTGTGGGCCGCTGCAGGAGGCAGAAATCGGGGAGCTGTAGCTTGACTGTCCACCCCTTTGGTGATTTAAAGAGTGGATTTAAAGTTAGGGATGCAGAGATACCCCCCAAAATAATAGCATCAAGGAAAAGAGTCACTTTTCCTTGAGAAGAGTCCTTAGTATCAACAGAGCTTTCCATGTTTTATGCTGCAAAAGACATATGGACCAAACACTGCAAATGCTTTTTTTTTTTTAAAGAAAAAGTTGGGTTTTTTTCTCTAAAAAGCTTCCTTATATTAGGAACAGAGCACTTGCGTGAACAAACATAATAGATTTATAAAAACTGAGGTTATATTTTTGTCTGTTTATTCAATAAAAACAGGAAGCTTCATATAAAATGTATGCATATACACTTACAAATGCATATATTTTTGTGGACTTGTTAGAGTGAAGTAGGTATTTAGGAATTTGGAGATTTTTAGTACTCATACAAGAATAAGTGAGAGTGAACGACTTAACCTTTGACGCTGATGTGTCTGATTTGGTTCTGTTCTTCTAAGGTGAAAAGCTCCGGGTCTTAGGCTACAATCACAATGGGGAATGGTGTGAAGCCCAGACCAAAAATGGCCAAGGGTGGGTTCCAAGCAACTACATCACGCCCGTCAACAGCCTGGAGAAACACTCCTGGTACCACGGGCCCGTGTCCCGCAACGCCGCCGAGTACCTGCTGAGCAGCGGGATCAACGGCAGCTTCTTGGTGCGGGAGAGCGAGAGCAGTCCTGGGCAGAGGTCCATCTCGCTGAGATACGAAGGGAGGGTGTACCACTACAGAATCAACACAGCTTCTGATGGCAAGGTAGGGGCCCCTGGTGGAGCGCTGGTGGGTGGGAGCTGAGTCATTGGCCAGGAGAACCCAGAGGTCCCGCTACTGGGTTGATAAGTTATTGCAACAAAGCTCGACCAAGAAGATGTTTGAAGACACTTTCAAGTAAACAGCAGGCATTATTCATTAGCCTTATGAACGACCCTCTGTTGAGGACCGATCACGTGATATTACCAGTCCACGGGCCGGGGTGGTTCTCTGATTGTCCTGCTGGACTTCTGTTGTTAGCAGTTTCATAAGATGGGTGGAATATCTGTTGGGTTTTACATTAAGAATCTTACATTAAGATTCTTCCTTTTTAAAAAATGTCTTATGATAGTAATTTATCCTCAGCGAGTAAAATTTAGACAATAGATGGATATTTTTAAAATGAAAAGCCACCTTACTAGCGCCTTCCCAAAATAAGTCTGATACATGGCCTTCTTCCTGTGGATAAAATCGTGTGTGTGTATGTGTGTGTGTCTCTATACAGTTTTTAAACAAAAATGGGATCGCTTGATACACATAATTTCCAAACCCAAACTGTAGTTTTGTAAAGGAGTTGAAATACTGTGTATGGTTTTGTGACCTTCATATAAATGTCCTTAAGAATCCATGAAGTGGAGGAGGGAGGAGCTTTTACCGAGATCCTACTATGTGCTGGGGCACTTTTCAGTCTTCATCTCATTTAAACCTCACCTCAGTCAGTGGTCAGCGCAGACACTGCTGCCATCTGCTCTTTTGCATTAAAGAAGTGATGGAGGCTGAGGGCTGAAATTTCTTGCTGAAGGCCACGTAGTTGATGGAACGAGGCTGCAACCCTGCCGTCTGCCCTACTACAGTGCACTGTCGCTGAGGGTGTAGAGAGATGGATCATCGGGGTGGGTCCAGATGGTGTATGTATTTTTTAATAATATGTAACGTATGCACATGATTTAAAAAAGAATCAATTACAGTGAAAGGTAATTCTGTCTCCTAATTTAGTTCCCTGCCCAGAGGCAATCACTGCAACCAGCTTCTGCCAGAGTTACGCGGTATATATATGTTTATATTTAAAAACCCACAAACGATGCCTACTGCACACTGTTCTGTATCCTGCTTTCCCACCTGATAATATATTTGGGAGATTGTTTTATGGCAGCGTATTTCGAGCTGCCTCATTCTTATTAATGACTGCATAGCACGGATGGCCCATCATTTATTTAAGCAGTCCCCTGCTGGTTGACGTTTCGGTTGTTTCCAATCTTACGCTATTATAAATAACATTGTTATGAGGTAGCTTTCAAACCTTCAGAAAAAAATCTCGTCCTGCTGTAAAGAAAACATTTACATCACCACCCAATACACTAGTAACAAAAGATTCGTGAAGCCCTACTTTAATATATATAATGCACGCTGATGTTTTGTATTCCATTCTGTTCTGTTTCATTTCTTAAAAAATTCTGGTCATAATCCACCAAATTTATTTCACTGGCCCCTTTGTGGGTCATGCCCTGCAGTTTGGAAATACACTGCACATACCTCTTTGTGCTTAGTGGAATGTGTGCAGGATAAGTTGCTAGGACTGATTGACGGTTATGTGCGTTTAAAACCTGTGTAGGTGTTGCCTGATTACTTTCGACAGAAATTATCCAAACGTGTTTTCTCACCAGCAGCATATAAGAGTGCATGTTTTTCCTCACCCCCATCAGCAGTGTATTATTAGACTTGTAAAAACATTTGTCACTGATCGGTAAAGCTGGCATCTTATTGCGTTTTATATGCAAGTGTCATATTTTGAGTGATCCCTATGCCATTTACTAAATTCATCTTTTCCTACACATTCGAAATGCACCCAATTTACACATATATTTAGGCCTGTTGATCTACTCTCTGTTCTCTTCCATTGCTCTGTCTATTATGCCAGTACCAGACTTTTAATTGTTATAGCTTTATAATGTGTTTTAATATCTGATAGGCTAGTCTTCTCTTCTTAATCTTCTTAGCATTTTTATGAATCGGGATGCATTCGTTTGCACTGCTCAAATGCACATATATATTTTTGCTGTTCTTACCTGTTATTGTTTTTTCCCCATGTGTCAGGGTATTCTGGCCAAAGGCCTGTTGCCAGTACCTGATGCTTTCCATCACTGCAGATGTCTTTATGTCAGCACTGTGGTTTGTATGACAGACAGCACAGTCTGATGTGGATGTGTGACTAGAGATCAGCCTTATTTATCAGCTTGCTTTTCAGCTCATTGTCTTTATCCCAGATGTTGAGCTAGGTCCTTCCATTCTGCAGGGTGGTGGGTCCTTTGAAACCTTGCCTTCAGACCTCAAGGGTGCCTTTCTAGTGAATTAGAATAGCAGAGTGCGCCACCCCTCGGGGCGATTGCCGGGAGTTGACACGGTGTTTCCTGTCTGTGCCTTTCATCCCAAGGCAAGCCACGCTGCTGCGTGTTCATCAGCAGAGGTTTGGACTGGATGGGGCAGTTAGTAGTGGTCTCTTTCTCCTGGAGTTCAGTCCGTATCCTTGGAACAGATGCAGCAGGCATGATCAAGTTTGACAACTCAGAAGGAGAGAGCAAGGCCTGTGTGTGGGATGCAGGACGAGAATTTGAGTCAGCCGATGAGGAAGCCAGGCCCTCTGTCTGAAAGCTGGTATGTGCCAGGGTCCCTTTCACTCCGGTGTAGCTCCGGGAGCACATTTGCTCAGGCGTTCCCCACCCCCGGGCAGCTGGGCAGTGTCCTCGGTCTCTCGCCCTCCAGCTGTCTGAGCACCTGGAGACTCCTGGGCCCACAGGGTCATCAGGCAGACCATCTGCGGAGGCTCCTGTCTGAGAGGGCTACACCTGAGGGGCTGTGTTGGGTGGGCTCATGTTCCTGGAATGAGTGGAACAGTGTCAGAGTAGGGAGGTATTACAGTGATGCATGAGACAAGACTGGCTCGGCCCTGAAACAAGCTGCTCCGAGCAGAGCTTTGAGGCAATCCTTTTAGGAGTTCTACGGGGAACATTTAACCCTGGTAGGAGGGACAGGCTGGGGTTGAATAATTTTATTCATATTTTCAAATTAGCTGATCTTCAGAAAGCAACTGAATTGAGAAGATTCTTCTCTAAGGCCCTGGCTTACCTCTCTCCCCATGTTCCTGAGCTTTCGGCAGCAGTTGTCGCCAGTCAGCCAGCCCAGGGCCACCAGCTCTGGGCCCATGGTTGGGACTGGGGCATTTAGAGCTGGACTCTTTTTTTAAAAAAAGATTTTATTGGAGAATTGGGAGAGGGGAACAGCGTTGGGGAATCAGGGAAGGGGAACAGACAAGTTGCTGTCCTTTTGTTCTTCAGTCTAGTTGTGGAGGACGTCGCTTCACTGGCCCATGTTGGTATTGCGATCACTGCGCTCTTCCCAGGTGAGGCAGTCGCTCACCAGGCCATTGGACGGCTGCTTATGACAGCCCATGGCAGCTCAATGGCAGCTCACGAAAGCTCACGCAGGCTCCCGACCAGTCTCACTGCAGCCTACGCCGTCACTGGCGACTCACGGCAGCCCAGCTCCAGGTCGAGCTGTTGTTCAGCATCTTAGCTGTAGAAGTTGCAGCGTCACTGGCCCTCATGTGGGATCTGAATGGGGGCCCTTCTGCTCAGAGCTGGCGTCCCAAGCCAACTCCTAACCAATGCACCATTCGTCCGGCCCTAGAGCTGGACTCTTCTTGAAAGGACCATACCAGATTGAGCCATTGCTGTTTCCTAGGAGTCTTGTCTGAAAATCTTCAGATACCCTGGGATTTGGTTGTCGTTCTTTGATGCTTTCCCAAAATTTGTAATCCTTTGCCCGCATAGCAGAATTAGACTGATTTTCCCCCTCCACCCCTGCCTAAATCATTCTTAGTTCTCCTGCTTTTTTATTTACTTCTGTGGGATGTCTGTCAAGTTCCACAATTTCTGATAGTCCTTGATGGAGTCTTCCCTTCAGAGAGATGCCCAGCTGACATTTATTTTCACAGTCTGCTGAAGTGACAGGTTTAGGTTGACAGGAATGGAATTTGGGCTTCGGCTTTAGCAGAGGTGGCAGGATGGGCCAACTGTATAACTTCTTGGATTTTGAGAATTACCCCCCCCCCGCCCCCAGCTCAGCAGGTTCTCAGGCATCCCAGTGAAAAGCCCGCTAAAACATGGCTGACCTGCCCTTGTAGAGGAGACTGGGGCGTTATTATTTACTGCTAATTATTAAGTACTGCTTTGCTGCTGGTGTCTGAGACACTCTCGGGGGAACGGTGCTCCTGGCTGAGCAGCCTGTAAATAGTCCGCCCAAGGCGGGACTCCAGGGTCTGAAGCCACGAAAGGGCACCCGGGCCCAGGTCGATGAGCCTGTGGGCGTGGCTGTCAGGAGGAAGCCCTTCTGTTGAGCTGCTTTGACAAGCCCTGTCTTTCGGGCTCCTGCGCGGTGAGAAAGAGGCACAGCCCTGGCTGAGCACCCAGAGTGTTCATGGAACCAGGTGTGTGGCATAATGACATGCCACTCATAATGCTAGTTTCACTTTCTCCTCGGAACATGCCAGGAATTCCTGATGAAGGTTACCTGGTTCACGAGCAAATGCTGCTCAAAAACTAGAACTAACCAGAAGGAAGCCACCAGACTTGACTGTTAGAAGACGGTTGTGCAGTGCATTTAAGGGAGAGTAGTTTTAATATTTAATAAGTGTCAGTATATAAATTTTATGTTGAAAGATGAACTGAATCATAGGATCTGTGAATTTAATTATTGAAAAGATAAAGTTTGTCCATCCAGTGAAACCGTCCGTAACTGAAACCTCTAGCTGAGGAGCCTGCGAGGAGGTCGGATGAGACCAGGAACAAACTTGACGCTAACGAGGGCCTGGGGAGGCGTTAGCGTTCTGTCCAGTTGAAGGGGCACAATCTTTGGGTTGGGGAGCCGTCGGTAATGAGCCTCGCTCCCAGGTGACCTGCCCTGGACTGTGCCATTGGTTCCCAGGGTGAGGGGGGGCTCCGATTCCAGGAGTACCTCCTGGGAGTGGCTTTTCTCGCTTCTCACCACTGCTGGGTAGGGAGAGCACTGTCCTCTGAGCTGACCCAAGAGAAGAAGGCTTGGAGCATGGTGCCCTGTAGTGAAGCCATTGGACAACTGACAGACTTTTGCAGACAGGGGTGGTGCTCGGGAGCTGTCCCCTCGTGCCACCCAGTCTTCTTTGTGAACTGTACTTGTGACAAGAGTGCTGGGCAGGCTCAGTAGTGCTGACCTCCACTCCCCGCCAACCACCACCAGCACTCATGCACGTGTCCAGGGTCCTGAGCATAACACTTAGCATGTCCCTAGAGCTGTTCACCTGGAGGTTTCTCCTCAGGGCTCTCCAGTATAAAAGTGGGGCCTCCTAGTGGACCGCCTCATCACCCTGGAAGGGACAGCCATTCAGAGGCACCATCTGGCAGAGGGACAAGTTCCTCAGGGCTGTGGAGTCTGTGGACAGTTCTTGGGTTGCTCAGAATTTTATTTTAGAAGGATTGCTACCAAAAGATTGTAAATTATAAAACCTCTGAGCCAGAGTTTGCTATTGGCTTGCCTGAGTTTTAACTGTTCATTCATGTCATCTCCCCAAACACAGAAGGGAGTAAGGGAGGGAGAGAGGAAAATCTCCTTGTTAATGAATCTATTTACCCTCTTGAGGGCTATAGAAGGGATCAACTTGTATGTTTGTTATTTCCCTCTTTTAAAATATTCTAATTACCTGACATTACAAACACCCAGAAAGTAACAGTGTCCCCCATAACCAGCATCCATGGCCTCGGCCATGCCATGTGTGTTTTCAGGCTTTTTCTTCCCTTTTCTTTTTCTAAGTAATAAGATGTTAACAGCTACAGCTGACTGATCCTATGCCGTTTTCTCCTCCCTGCCCTGGCATCCCCACTGTTCTAAATCTGTATTCCTTCTTACCACGTCTTTGCGATTTGGGCAGGTCTTACGAACACCTAGTCGTGGTTTTAAGTATCCTTTCCACCTGCAGTGTTCGTTGGCTGCCCTTAGTGAGCCAGTAGATTCCATATGTACCTGGATCCTACTGTCCTGTGTGGATTTTAATGTGGAATTGTTTTTGCAATGAAACAGAGAAGAAAAAAGATAGACGTCACCATCCACAGTGCGCCCTGTCATCTGCTCCTTTCCCTCCTCCCATCTCAGTTGGTCCAGACGAGAACTCCTCATGGAGGGACTCCCTGCACAGGTGCTCACTGCTGCATCTCAGGTGCATCTCAGAGGAGACTCAGGCACTTGTGTCTGAAACCCTCCTCATGCCCTCCCTGCCGCGGAAAAACCTGGATGGACTTGGGTAGCCCTCCAGCCCCCACCCTGTTCCTGGAGAGTGCCGACTGGGGCACCCCACGGGGCACGCTGCTGGGCCTTGCAGATCTGGGTCTCTGATGCTTCTTTGCTCACATCAAGGGAATAGGAATGAGAAGTAGATTTATGTTTTGTTTAGTGATTTTCATCTCTGATCATCTTTAGTTCTAGATAATTGTAGGTAATAATGATAGGTTTTAGTAACAAGCCTAATCATTTTTTTAAAATTTCTTTCCAAGGGGCTGGCCGAGTGGCTCAGTTGGTTAAGAGCTTGCTCAAGAGTGTGAGCTCTGAGCAACAGTGGTTTGATTCCCAGCCCGAGCTGAGCTGCTGCTGAGCTGCCAACAGATGGCAGGATGGCTCAGCTTAAAAAAAAAAAAAATTCTTTCCAAATGCAAATAATCATTAAGTTCTACTCTTCACTAATCCACAACTATTATCGAGTACCTATTATGTACTTATTTCTTGTTCTCGATGTATGGGAAACAGGATAAAAACAGCTTAGGGCTTTCCTCTCATGAAGCTGATGTTCTAGTAGGTGGAGAAACAATGATCAAGCTGATAAACAGGTATAATGCAGAGAAGTGAGAGGTGATGATGACAAGCGCTGGGTGATTGATGGCTGTGGATTGGTGGTCAGGGAAGACGTCATGGACATTTACACAGGGCTCAACATGGTGAGAGGGGAGCAACCATGTGAGGATTAGGTAGGTGGAGCATTTCAGGCCGGGGGAGCTGCAGGTGCAAAGGCCCTGCGGCATTTTATAGCAAGTCAAATACAGCAGTAGAGAAACACACCTAAGTGGTTTTCTGAATGCTTGAGCCTGGGTGGAGAGCCGTTTACCTGAGGTTCCGCTGTGCATCACATTGAGGCTCAGCAAAGCTGGTTCACTGGAGTTGTTTGCATTTGCATCTCCTTTGTGGGCTGAAGGCTGTCCCTGTTTTCCTCAGCTCTACGTCTCTTCAGAGAGCCGCTTCAACACTTTGGCCGAGTTGGTTCATCATCACTCAACTGTGGCAGACGGGCTCATCACCACTCTCCACTATCCAGCCCCCAAGCGCAACAAGCCCACCGTCTATGGCGTGTCCCCCAACTACGACAAGTGGGAGATGGAGCGCACGGACATCACCATGAAGCACAAGCTGGGAGGAGGCCAGTACGGGGAGGTGTATGAAGGCGTGTGGAAGAAATACAGCCTGACGGTGGCCGTGAAGACCTTGAAGGTAGGCCCGGGACCACCCAGTCGGGAGTCCAGTTAGAGCCACCGCTGCTCACAGTGCCATTGTCTGCAGTGATGCAGTGATGCCCGTTCAGGTGGCCGCCTCCTGCACAGAGGCCCCAGGGCTCACGCTGCCGAGGAGGTGACTCTTCAGTCTTTCGTGCCTTTGGACATTCTCATAATGGAGTCCTTCTCATAATCTCAGTGTGTTTTCACGTCGGGTGAGCACTGAGAAGTGCTGTGGTTTTGGGTATAAGAAGATTAGTCATTTGGAGAAGTTATTTCATTGTATGGCAAGAGTCTTTTTTTTTTTTTAAAGACTTTATTGGGGAACTGGGGGTGGGGAACAATGTTGGGGAGTCAGGGAAGGGAAACAGAAAAGTTGCTGTCCTTTTGTTCTTCAGTCTAGTTGTGGAGGACGTTGCTTCACTGGCCCAAGTTGGCACCATCATTGTGCTCTTCCCGGGCGAGGCACATCAGTCGTCGGCTTCTGGACGGCCACTCACGGCGGCTGCTGGCTACACACTACAGCAGGGGACTGCAGCCTACGCTGTTGCCGGCGACTCATGGCAGCCCAGCTCCAGGTTGAGCTGTTTGTTGTTCAGCATCTTAGCTGTAGAGGGCAGTGTCACTGGCCCTCATATGTGGGATCCGAACCGGGGCCCTCTGGTGTCCCAAGCCAGCTCTTAACCATCGCGCCACTCGGCCGGCCCCTGGCAAGAGTCTTTTAAAGCCGTGGCTTTCCATCCTGTTTGTGTGGCACTGGGATCACTTCCTATTGATAGTTAAGAGAAGGAGGGGAAAAAAACCTCTGAGTTTTGAAAGCAGGAGATTTAACCAAAAAGCCTTTGACTCTTCTGTGGACTTTTGCTGGCAGATTTGAAAGGCAAGTGCTGTGTGCTTCCTAGCAGGTTCCTGTTCTGTGTATTGTGTGTCCAGACTTCTGGAATGAAGCAAACATGAAGGCTTCTTACTAACTCCGATCCCCCCACCCCCCATCTTTCTTGTTATCTGTGACTTGCACCCTCTCCACTAATGCACAGTGTTTGTGGTTTCCAGGCGGTTTGTTTTCCTTTTGAAGTTTTCTTTTGAAGTTCTTTGAAATCTTTAGGACGCCAAGGGAAGGAAGTTTTAATTTGCAGCCGCCTTCAAAATGTGATCTGCACTTTACCTATGGCGAGAGTGTCCCCTAGTGTTGAGCTGCATCACTGTCACTTGTTTTAAATGGACTGGCTTTGTTGACCTGTGCACAGACATGGAGAGAGAGCCCGGTTTTGTAGCTCTTAGAAAGAAAAAGAACCGAAACACCCACTGTTGGGAAAAACGGACCCAGTGGTGTGTACGCTTCTCAAAAGTCAGTCGCGTGCGCACTTTGAGACCAGTACAGCCAACTCGCTCCTCTTTTAGGGCCTCTGCTACTTCCCCTGATGCTTCCACTCAAGCACAGCACAATGGAAACCATGATTTCTGGCTGATGTAAAGTGACACTTTAGAGAAAAGATCACATTCTTTAGTCCTAGAAACCCAAAATGGCTTCCTGGCACTGTGTCCCCTTAGATTGGTCCTTGGGCATGACTTACACTATGTGGGGGGGGCATGGTTTCAGGTCACTGTGGGGACTCCTTGATATTTTGCAGATAGGTTTTTTAAAAATTTAATAAGCGTTTATTGAGTTTGTCACTTCTATTTGCCAGATCCTGGGCTTAACATTGGGGTTGTGAAAATGAATTCGAGTTCTTTACTTCAGGCTACTCTAGGTAGTTAGAATAGTCTAGTCAGTAGGAGAAATAGGCAAGTACAACACTAATGGCAGTGCAGTGTGATGAGGGCCACATTAGGCCTGAGGTTGGCTGTGTCACCTCATGGGAGTGAAAGGAGGGACCGGTGAGCGCTGCTTGATGGGGAGAACATGAAGGGGATGTAGAGGAGCAGAGGTCAGGAGAGAAGGTGGAGGGCAAAGAGGACACAAGTCCCAGAGGGCTTGAGCCCAGCCGAGGAGCTGGGGGCTATGCTGGAGGCAGTGGGGCGCATTGAAGGGTTTGATGCCCAGGGATAAGATGATAGGATTGGGGTTTCCAAAGAGGGCTACGTTGGTGAGCCCTAGAAATAACTAAACAGCTATTGCCCCTCGTCTCACAGATGGGACGGGTACAGGGACAGGCGTGTGACCAGGCCCAGTCATCGGGCCTTGACTTAGTTTGAGAAACTGTTAGAGGCCTAGGCGTCACCCACTCATTCGCCAGGATTTGCAAAAACAGAACAAAGAAGAGTAAAAGCACAAAGTGCACTAGATTTCAATCCAGGCAAGGCTGTTAGAAAACTTTAAAAAGAGACTGAGTTTGTACAATTTGAAATGTGGGGAAAACCCAGCCTAGTAGCTGATGCTGGGGCCCTGTTTTCTGAATGACTGAAGGAGGAGGATTCTAGAGGCGGGACCTCCAGGAGCTCGGCGGCGGCGGCAGTGCTGGTGCTGGTGGGGCAGCGGTGGTTTTCTGTTTCCAGTGAATCAGAATTATCTGGAAGTGGGTGCCTGTTAGAATATCCTTCTCTAATGATGTGTTATTATACTTTTTATTACATACTTTTAATGATTTTCCCTAAGATCTTTATTAACTTGTCCCAAATTACAGGATCTAGTTGTGTGGAGTTCTCTGAGTAGCTGATTAGGGAGAGGAGAATGCATTATTTTCTAGACCAGCAGTTCTCAACCTGTGGGTCGCGACCCCTTTGGGGTCGAACGACCCTTTCACAGGGGTCACCGGGTACTCGTATGTGGGCATATCTGCATGTGGGCCCGGAGACAGACAGAGGAGCAGTGTCTCGGTTCCTAAGACCATCGAAAATACGTGTTTTCCGATGGTCTTAGGCGACCCCTGTGAAAGGTTGAGAACCGCTGTAATCTAGAGGTATGTTAACCCAAAATGTACTAAGGAACTCCTGAATAAATAATCCCTCCTTCTGCCTCACCTCTCTGCATAAAAACCATCTCTACTATATGTTCTCCACGTGTCAGATAAGTGCTAGGATTAGTATTTTGGGCATTTACCGCCACTGTAGAAGTTGAGAGCTCTGAGTGGGTTCTAAATGACAGTATGGCTGGCTGACCTTTATTGAGCTCTTACTATGTGCCTGGCAGACTTCTGAGTCCTTTATTTATAGCATCTCATTTAATTCTTACAACAACCTTAAGAGAAGGGTAATAATACTAGCACCATTTCAAAATTGAGAAAACTGAAGCACAGGGAAGTTAAGTAACTGGGCTAGCATCACACAGCTAGAGCGGCAGTCAGGATTCAAACCCAGGTATCCTACTCCAAAGCCCTATTATTATTATTATTATTATTATTATTATTATTATTATTAGTTACTCAGGTTCTTATTCCTCATATTCCCTGAAAAATATGCATAAACCACAGTTATGTATTTTAAAAATCACCCCTTCCACCTCCCCCATTCACTCCGCTCAGAGGCTGTAGCTGTGCTCGACCTTGCTCTTCAAGACTCCTTGCAAAGCCCTGCAGCTCCAGCCCAGGCTTTCGCTGGCTCAGCGGCTCTCACCGAGCACCTCTTCACCTCTTCGTCCAGACCTCTCTGGGCACCTGGGTGTCGTCTCCTCCCTGCTCCCTGTCCTGCCTGTTTGGTGTTGCTGGCCCCTCAAAGGGCAGTGCCAGCTCCTCCTTAGCCAGCAGGGGGAGCAAGGCCCTACGTTTACGCACTACGCCGTATTGACACTAGGCAGCTTTAGGTCCATACCTTCAGGGCGTAAGGAAGACCGGAAGAGAACAGGAAAAAAGGAGGTGCTAGGCTGACCCCTATGGATGGGGAACTGGAATGACAGCCAAACTGGAATTCCCACTGATGGGGAACAGCTAGTTTGAATTTTGACAATACTCAGTAGGTCGTAGGCTTAACTTGACCCCTGTATTATCTGTGTTAACGGACATGCCCAAGAGAACCAACTGTCCAGCCAGAAGCCCCGCATTTCACATGAGCGGTATTCCAGAAGTTAGTGAGCCAGTTGTTTTCTAGTCGTGTAAGTGGCAGAATTAGCAAAGACTGCGTTAGTCTAGTTGTGGCGTTAAAAGTGAATCGTAAGCTAGCTGACAAATTTACCATTAAGATAGTGGAAAATTACATTGTTATAAAATGTTGTTTTAAACCGTACCCAGTTTTTCAGCTAGTGATGCATGCACATAGCCTCCGCCACCCTTGATTTTTGTCTTTCCAGAAATAGTCCACGTGTGCATTATTTTTAATCCTATGGCAGCGTGCTGTAGACACTGCTCTGTAGCTTATTTGTCCGCGTAATGTATCCGGACAGCTGTTCCTTGTCAGTACACATAAGGCTGCCTTGTTTGTGTGGATGTATGTCAGCATGTACCAGCCCTCAGTGGGCATTTGTGTCCTGCCCAATACGTGGCATTACTGAAGGGCCCCCAGATTCTCCTTGTTTGCACATATGGGAGAGTGTCCTGGTGGGCCAGCGCCTCAGAGTGGGACCACTGGACCAAGGGCCACGTGCATTTTTTGTCTTCATCACATTCCCAAAGGAACTCACACTGTGTACGCTCTCCTGCCAGTGCTGGAGAAGGTGCCTGTATACCACACCTCACCGCTCAGCGTGCTTTTTTATTCTGTTATTTTCCCCCCTGGAAATTGGTTTTATTGGAGAGCAGAGAAGGAAGGGTTTCGTGACAGCATTGACACTGGACAGCCCCACACAGTGGCTCTGTGACTTGACGCGGGGGGCTCTGTACTGGGGGAGAGGCCACGGTTGCCCTGTGGCACTTGCTCCTCTACTGGGTCCTCTTCTGGCTGTGCAGCTGGATGCAGCTGCCGTATTTGGGGACCAGTGTTCTGGGGGCTCCTCTGTGAGTTGGTTTCTCGTGCCCTTTTTGCTTGAGCTTCAAGTCCCACATCTGGCCCGTGAACTACCTTCCCCAGTCGAGCTCAGAACCTGCCCCCTCTCTCCAGTGTGTTTTTAAACACGCGACCTTGGTCTACCTGATGGGTGAAGGATGGTACCTCACTGATCGTAACATTTGGGTAAGAACCAGCAACGTGGAAACTAGACAGGAGCCCAGGTTCAGGGACAGCAGTGCTTGCTGAGAGGGAGGCAGCGAGAGCGCTGAAAGCTGTACAGTAGCAACAGGGTGCAGAAGCTGTACAGTAGCAACAGGGTGCAGAGCCAGTTTTAAAGACAGTGCTTTTTTTTTTTATGCTGGAGAATACCTGATGTTGGGGGTGGGGCCAGTGAGCAACTGGGATGAAGCTGGTTAGAACATACCTGTGAGAAACAGTCTAGGAGAATCGGTCTGTGAGAAGGACCAAAGACAGTGTTAAAGAAGCAGCCTGTCTTTCATACCGGCGGTCTATTCCGCCTACTTTTCAGGAGTCAAGGTCACCTGTCTTAGTACCAGTGAGTGGCGCTGATTGATTGCTGACAGTGGGCTGAGCACTGCGCTTGGCACTCTGTGCATGAGGCAGATGCCAGTCTCCCTCCCGTCTGGTAGATGAGAAAGCAGTTCAGAGGTGCCCCTTGTTCTCTGTCCTGTAAGGAACTCGCCGTGGCTCCTCAGCGGCACAGCTTGGTCGGTGTGACTTACAAGCCGTCCTCAACCTCTCTGCTGTCCCAGCCGAGATGTGGGCCAGTGACCCATCTCCCTCCCTCATAGACAAGGCTGGAATTCACAGCTTTTACTCAGAGTGTTGCCTTTACCCTCATTAATCTGAGTTAGTTTTATTTTTCTATGTAAATAGAAGAATTCTCTTCAAAAACTTGATGGAACGTTTTTAAATAAAAGTAGAGGCATGTAACAGGATGATAGCATTGGGGATATTTCCAGTTTACACGACTACAAATGTAGTAAGCTGTTCGTAGTTTAAATTCTAAGTTGAACCAGGTCTGATTCCAGCAGAGGGAGACAGGTTCACTCACGGTGGTTGTCCTGAAAGAAGGAAACAAGGATTTATTTATACTGTCACACGTGTGTGTGTGTGTGTGTGTGTGTGTGTGTGTGTGTGTGAATGAATGAACGAAGACAGACAGACAGACCGAGAAGAGGGATGCTTTTGAAAGCTGTATTGTTCTTTTCACATGTCCAAGCTTCTCATGATCTAGAATATGGTTCTTTTAGAGAAGTGTCAGTGGCTGTAAGATGATATTTCTGAAATGATATCACTATGCGTAGTTTGTATGGTGCTTTGAAAAAAATACAACTCCACTTGTCTAGAAAGCTTGATTTGAGTGCTACTTTTTTGAGCATATTATTGGCCAAGCAGAGTTCCAAAAGCCCCTGTCCTTATGTGCGCAGCATCGACTCCCCTGGTTCTGATAGGCATTCGCTCTCCAGCCTTTGACATTAGCGTGTCACCCTGGTAAATCAGAGCACTTCATGTCCCAAACAGTACGGCTGGCTGAGCATGGCACGGAGCAGAGAGGACTCCGAAGAATTAAATAGCCAACGGGGTGGCAGCAGCAGCAATGCGGCCTTTCCCCTGTACAGCTTGACACAGAGGTTACCGCCGATGTTTAATTGACATTAAGAGCAGCTCGCCATTTTTAAAGAGCAGTAAATTGTTCCTGAGTTTCATCTCTCAGGTCCCTAAGCAAAGGCTGACACGAACTCATTGGTCATGCTTGGCTTGTAAACATGATTGACTAAAGCAAGAAAGCGCTAAGTAAAGGTTGACCTGTCCTCGGGAAGGCTTTGCCAAGTTCAGCGGCCAGGAATGGGGCAGTCACGGGGAGCACTGCCGTAAGCACACCTTAATCTTGTTGCCCCGAGGGCAGGTACGGTGTGTAAGCCTCCACGTTTAAATAAACCTGATAAAGTTTTCCTCTTGGGGGAGTCTAGTTATCAAGACATTCACTCCCCATCTCCCATACAGCCTTTCTCTTCAGACCATTCAAACTCCATGTTGAAGCTTGGAGGGTGGGGTCTTGCCTCCCTCGTTGGCCTTTATAGCCAGGTTCGCACGGTGAACAGACCATGTCGTTTCCCACCTGTTTTGATGGTCAGTTCAGAAGACAGTGGGTTCTTTTAAGTCAAAAAGGTTTACACAACACAAGCCCCAGCCAGGCTCTGGGATGATAGGGCCAGGCGAGGCGGCACAGCCCTCCGGATGGGAGCCTAGACCGAATGTCTGTGGGGACATTAGAAATACCACCACATCCGCTCTAGCATTTGCTGATATCTCTGTCTCCCTGTGAGCTTGCTACTGATCTTCCTGTGACTTGTGTTAGGGGAGCTGCTGGTGAGGAGGATTTTAGAATCTGAATAATGGACCTGATGGATAGTGGTGATGGCTTCATTATAAGCCCCATGGCACCGTGTTCTTCAGCAGTTCCACATTCTCTGTTTCTGCCATATTTTGAGGCATCGTTCTTCTTTGGTAGTACAATGTCTTTTTGTGTCACCAGGGTCTCTTCCCTTAAATTGGCTACATTTCAGATTCTTCAAGTGATTTTTTTTTAATGTTACTCATTTTAAGACCCCTTGCAAAGCAGCTGTTCCTGAGGGAAATAGAACCATGTTTGTGCTGTTTGCCTGCACACCTCCCCTGCCCCACAAACTCCACAGGTAATGGAAACAAATACAGTCTGCATAGCAGCCAGCAGCAGCAAGCCGCCCACGTATACAAGCCAACCTTGATGTATTGCCCTGGGTGAGAATTCAAAAGTTCAACACCAAAGGGTTTGAAAACTCGCTGTGCCATTGAGGCGATGGTTGGCTGCCATGGAACCCGTCCAGAGCAGTGTGGCAGTTGAAACTGGGGGGCCAGGATGCTTGTTCGTTGAAGCTCCAATTTGTATTAACCATTCACACCGTATATTTTCCCACGTAAACACATTCCTTGCTGAAATAGTTTCACCACCTTTTTTTTCTGCAGGAGGACACCATGGAGGTGGAAGAGTTTTTGAAAGAAGCTGCAGTAATGAAAGAGATCAAGCATCCTAATCTAGTGCAGTTACTTGGTGAGTGTGTGGAGCTCGGCAGGGGGGCTTCTCATTAAACCCGTGGGGTGATCGAGGTGGCGATCGAGGTGCTATTAACCAACAGATGAAGGGCTTGCTACATGAAGATTTCTGATTCGGACGTTGTTCTCTGCCAACATTCAGCCCTCAGTAAAAGGAGGTGCGTGCGTGCGTGCGTGCGTGCGTGCGTGCGTGCGTGTGTGTGTGTGTGTGTGAGAGAGAGAGAGAGAGAGAGAATTTTATTACTTTAGATTAATACCGAAAAGTGTCAAATGCAAATCTCAACTTGACTTCTGAAACTTAAGAATTTTCAAGAGTTCCTTCACTGAAGTGATTCTGTAAGTAGACAGAGCCATCAGACATAACCTCCTGGGGTGAACTAACAGCGATTTAGGCCATTTGATGTGCGCCTGGCCTTTGCTTCTGAACTCAGTGGCGGCCTCTTCCTGTTTAAGTTCATTCATTGGCTTGAGAGGAAGAAAAGAGCGTGGCCATGTCCCTCCCCTGGGGACATCATCTCAAGTCACAAGTGCTTGGAGAACCGTCTTAGCCCAGGACTTGGGGGCAGAGTCAGAATCCATTTCAGAAGCCGTTTTCTTTAGTGCCAATCCTTTCTGATGCTTGTGCGATGCCTTGTTGGCAGGGGTCTGCACCCGGGAGCCCCCGTTCTATATAATCACTGAGTTCATGACCTATGGGAACCTGCTGGACTACCTGCGGGAGTGTAACCGGCAGGAGGTGAATGCTGTGGTGCTGCTGTACATGGCCACTCAGATCTCATCAGCCATGGAGTACCTGGAGAAGAAAAACTTCATCCACAGGTAGGAACCTGCCGAGGCCACCTCCCCACAGAGCTGTGGCATGAGCTGGGGCCCCGGCACCTTTCTGCAAAAGTCCCCGCCTCGAGGCCTTATAGCTCGGCCTCTAAATTCAGCGCTGGCAACATGTTAGACCTTGGAACAAGGACAACGCTGGGTTCCAGTGTTTCCAGCTCTGGGTGTGCGTCTAGGGCCCAGTTCAGCCAGGCCTAGGCTTTGGACATGGAGCAGTTAATCCCCAGGGGGAGAAATACTTCACCTCAGACCCATTCTGGACTAAGAGGAACATTCAGTGTTTCATACGAGGCATCCTTCCTATTATCATCACAGCTCCTCTGAGGTCGAGTGCTCCTTGTTCCGCCAAGCCCAGCGAGCATCGTAATGACCTCTTCCTGGGAGCGATCGGCCTCGCCCTCACACAAACCTGCGGTGACCACCAGGGCATGGGCTTTGCTTTTGTGTTGCGTGTTTTTTCCCTTCTCTTTGTTGTCATTTCATTCTCCACTTAACTTGCTGTCATCAGTTTCAGCGATGTTTCCACAGTTGTCGGAATTGTGTATATGTGGCTCTAAATGAAGCGTCTTTGCTGTTTTAAAGCCCAGAGTGTTTTGACCTTCAAGTGTGCCACAATTATCTTGGTCTTCACATTCTTGGCTGGTGGAAATGGCTTCTTAGCAGAGTGACAGCCTATGCAGGACGGAGCCTGTGGGCTGTGCCGGAGTCTCTCATACAAGACATTCTCTACGCCACCACTGTGACCTTTCCTACCCAATTAACTCAACTATGAAACCTGTACATGAGATTTCATAGTGGGGAATAAGAGTAGCATGTGTGAAATGCTGGCGGTTCCTTGTAAGACAGATTCTCTATGCGCCAGGAGAGCCCGGCTCAGATGCTCCTGTCACTCAAGAAAGTGAACCCTCTGAGGCTGCAAATTGAGATTTCTTGACTTCCCATTTGCTTTGCATGTCTAGGTGTGTTCTCTTTTCATTCGGGCAAACTCAGGATGCTTTACCAAAATCCTATTAGGCACAACTCTTCTGTGTTTAATTTCTCTCTGATTGCTGATGATCAAGCTGTCGTATGCAGCCGTCACCTTAGCTGCTACCTCTTCTCAGCCTTCCATTCCCGTTTGCCTTGTGAGGTCATGGTTAACGTGCATGAACCAAAGATTAGACCCCTGCCTCCATGGTAGACTCAGGAGGCGAGAGGAAGCTAATCAGACAGGAGAGAATTTTTTTTTAAAGATTTTATTGGGGAATTGGGGGAGGGGAACAGCCGAGTTGTCCTTTAGTTCTTCAGTCTAGTTATGGAGGACGTCGCTTCACTGGCCCATGTTGGTATTGTGATCATTGCGCTCTTCCCGGCTGGGGCAGATTGGTCGCCGGCCATTGGACGGCCGCTCACAGTGGCTCAGGGCAGCTCTCGCTGGCTGCTGGCCGCTCACAGTAACTTAAGGCAGCCCACTGCAGCTCATGGTAACCCACTGCAGCAGGGGCTGCAGCCTACGCTGTCACTGGTGACTCACGGCAGCCCAGCTCCAGGTCGAGCCGTTGTTCACCATCTTAGCTGTAGAGGGCGCAGCGTCATTGGCGCATGTAGGAATCAAACCGGCAGCCCCGCTGTTCAGAGCTCGTGCTCTTACCAGCTGAGCCACTCGGCCGGCCCAACAGGAGAGAATTTTTAGGCTACATTTGGATAAGCATCAGGAAGAAAGAGGAAAGCAGGAAACACAATTTGGGTAAAGAATTCTGTGGACTTTGTTACCAAGTCTAGAGAGAACAAGTGGAGACCCCCTTGGCCATAAGTTCCCTGTGGTTGAGGACTGGCCGATATGTTTGTTCCTGGTTCCTGGCTTAGAGCAGTAATAACCAAACAGACACTTAGATGACACTTATATTCTCTAGGCATCAGTCGAAGCACTTTACATATTAATTAGTTGCCACACACAGCAACCCTAAGAATTAGGGGCTGTTATTCTCATCTTCGTTTTATGGATGAGGTAACTGCATCTCAGGGGAATTAACTTGCTCCAGGTCACAGGGCCGGGGTGCCTGCTCCTGGGGCCGCCTGTGCTGCCTCACCCTGGTGGGACCCCAGGCGGGTGCTGAGGGTTGGGCACTGCTCCGGTGAGGAGTTAACATAAGTACCTGGGGAACCAGGCTCCCTTTCCATTGTCAGTATTGCATGTTTCCTCAGCGATGGCGGGTTTGCAAAGCTGGAAAGCTAGCCAGGAACTCTCATGGATGGACTTTTTCCTTTCCCAGAGACCTTGCTGCCCGAAACTGCCTGGTAGGGGAAAACCACTTGGTGAAGGTGGCTGATTTCGGCCTGAGCAGGTTAATGACAGGGGATACCTACACAGCCCACGCCGGGGCCAAGTTCCCCATCAAGTGGACTGCGCCTGAAAGCCTGGCCTACAACAAGTTCTCCATCAAGTCCGACGTCTGGGGTAAGGGCTTCTGCTCCGGCCTGTCTGCCCACCCAGGCTGGGGCTCTTTTCCCTGTTTTCCTTTCTCTCCTTGCTTTTCTACTGCATCTTTCATTCCTTTTATTTTTCATTAATTCTCTTTCTTTTTTTTGTTTCTTTTTTGTTTAAATATCTTTTCTGCCCTGTTTTCTCTCCAAAATGAAGTAAAAGTGATCTTTTTCTTCCGAAATAATTCAGATTAACTTTTGCTTTACTTACTGTGTTTGTCTTCACTCTCAGTGTGGGTTTGCGGGGGCAGCTAGCCAACTCTGCAGGCACCCAGAGGCCTCCTTTCATGCGCAGAATGCCGTGTAGTTTGGTTTGGGCTTGACTAGGGCTCTGAAGCCTCATGTGACTGTATTTTGTTTTACTTTTTTTTTTTAAAGATTTTATTGGGGAATTGGAGGAGGGGAACAGCATTGGGGAATCTGGGAAGGGGAACAGACAAGTTGCTGTCCTTTTGTTCTTCAGTCTAGTTGTGGAGGACGTTGCTTCACTGGCCCATGTTGGTATTATCATTGCACTCTTCCTGGGTGAGGCAGATCAGTCACTAGCCATTGGACAGCCACTCACGGTGGCTCATGGCAGCTCACGAAAGCTCACGCCAGCTACCGGCCAGCCCCACTGCAGCCTATGCCGTCGCCAGCGACTCACGGCAGCCCAGCTCCAGGTCGAGCTGTTGTTCACCATCTTAGCTGTAGAGGGCGCAGCATCACTGGCCCTCATGTGGGATCTGAACCGGGGCCCTGCTGCTCAGAGCTGGTGTCCCAAGCCAACTCCTAACCAATGCACCACTCGGCCGGTGCTATTTTTACTTTTTTTTTTTTAGCTGAGCCATTCTGCCACCTGCTGGCAGCTCAGCGGCTGCTCAGCTTGGGCCAGGACTTGAACCGCTGTTGCTCAGAGCTCACACTGTTGAGCGAGCTCTTAACCAACTGAGCCACTCAGCCAGCCCCAATTTTTACTTTTTTAAAGAACTTTTTTTGGTAAGATTTTTATTGGAGAATTGGGGGAGGGAACAGCATTGGGGAATTGGGGAAGGGGAACAGACAATTGCTGTCCTTTTTGTTCTTCAGTCTAGTTGTAGAGGATATCGCTTCACTGGCCAGTGTTGGTATTATCATTGCGCTCTTCCCGGCTGAGGCAATCGCTCACCAGCCATTGGACGGCAGCTCAAGGCAGCTCCCGCCAGCTGCCGGCTGCTCACGACAGCTTACAGCAGCCCACTGCAGCCCCACTGCAACCTACACCGTTGCTGGCGACTCACAGCAGCCCAGCTCCAGGTCGAGCTGTTGTTCACCATCTTAGCTGTAGAGGGTGCAGCATCACTGGCCCTCATGTGGGATCTGAACTGGGGCCATGCTGCTCAGAGCTGGTGTCCCAAGCCAACTCCTAACCAACGCGCCACTCAGCTGGGCCCTTAAAGAACTTTTTATTGTGGCAAATTGTAACCATATACTAAAGAAGACAGTTGCCTGCTGAGCCCGCGCACCCATCACCCAGCTTTCCTAATCATCACCTCACGGTGCGTTCTCTGTGCCCTGCCCCCTCCCCTGACCCTTATTTTGAAGCAAATCCCAGACATCATGTTATTTCGTCCATAAATATTTCAGTGTGAATGTCTTAAAGATGGCCTGTTTTATTCTCATAACCACATTACCCCTCCTCCCAAAATGGACAGTAATTTGTGAATATTATCGACTATCCAGTTAGTGTTCTAATTTCCAATTGAATCAGAAAAGTCATGCTTTTATTTTACAGTCTGTTTGAATTGAGATCCAAATATGGCTCACACAATGTGATTGGCTGTGTCCCTTAAGACTCCTCTGATCGGCACGTTCCCACTCCATCTCTGTATTTCCCTGACTGCTTATTTGTTGAGCAAATCCTGTCATTTGTCGTTTAAAGTTTCCCACCTTCTGAATTTTGCTCATTGTGTCCCCGTGGTGAGATTTATTAGGTTCCTCTCCCATCAGTACCCCAAGTAAATAGGTAGTTGGATCTAGACAGCTCAATCATACTCAGGTTTGACTTTTTCCTTTTAGTTAAGAGTTCTTAATAGGAGGTGGTGTGCTTTTTCATCATTAGGTACATAATGCTTGATTTTCTCTCTTGTTTTAAATGATTTTAACAGCTATTGATACCCTGTGCCTAGATCCACTAATTTCTTAGGCGTTGCCAAATGGTAGCTCTCTAACTCTGTCATTTCTTATTCATTGATTAGCTCAATACTCGTATAAGAAGAAACTTTCCCTCACCTACTGTTTGGTTATTCAGAGGTACAGTTCATATAGGAAAGGCAGGATAAGTGTTTGCTTTCTTGCCATGATTTACCAGTTTTCAAAATAAGTTGGTTTCTTAATACTTTACAATGATGACCAGTTAGATTTTTGTTGTTTTTTTTTTTGTGATATTATCATGAATGCTCTCATATATAATGTGTTTTAGTATATTTGATGTGTTTTAATGCACGGCAGTTGTTTAACCTTATTGGTTCAGATTGTCCCATCTTTGACCAGTGGGAACTTCAAATTGCTCGGGGTCCTTTGACAAGACCCTTGTAGTCTCCAAAAGCATCTGTGCTGTCTGTAATGAGAAGATACTCCAGTGTCACCCCCTGCCTCAGACCTGAACCACCCATTTCTCCAGGAGCCCTGTTTCCTTTAATGGGGTCTGGAGTTTCAGGGCTATACTCTGAGCCTTCAAAACTTTCAAAGATTTCTTAAGATTTTAAGAAATGTTTCGAGTTAAGAGGGGCTTGGAGATAATTTACGCCCAGGCAGGAGAGTTGGTCTGTCTGAGGCACAGAGCTAGTTGTCACAGAGCTGGGCGTAGAAATGGTCTCCTAGCTTCCAGCCTTAGATTCTCACACCACGTATCAAGATGATCACGTTACCTAAGAGATCTGCAGGGGCTGATCGGCAGTCCTCTTCTCTCCTTCAGCGCATCCTAGCCTGGGGGCGTGAGCACGCTGAACGTTTCATTCCGTCCTGGGCTGTCGGTAATTAAGAGCCTGGTAAAATCAGTGCCTGGCCTGCTTCTGAGGGTGTGACGTCTGATGTCTTCCACACAGGTAACCAGCTGTAAATGCAGTATAGTTCACACGTTTTCAATAACCTTTTTATCTTTTCCTTCTAGCATTTGGAGTGTTGCTTTGGGAAATTGCTACCTATGGCATGTCACCTTACCCGGGAATTGACCTGTCCCAGGTGTATGAGCTGCTAGAGAAAGACTATCGCATGGAGCGCCCGGAAGGCTGCCCGGAGAAGGTCTACGAACTCATGCGAGCATGTGAGCCTTCCCCCACCAGTTCCAAAAATTATACATGGGCTTTGTAAGACGTGCCGCTTCAGGAGTGTATCCATCAAGTAGAACGTTGAAGTGTTCCATTCCCCTTCTGAATTCCCCGTCTTCAGAGCAACAGATGGAACAGTTTGGTACATCTTTTGCAGACTTTTTTCAGTGTTTCTATACATGTTATTTATACATAATATTTGCATGTGAGGGTTTTTTGGTTTGCTTTTTAATGCAAAACTGCAATTGATGGATACCAAACTTGGATTTCTTATTAATAAATACAAATTCCTGGACCTACTTTCAAAATTCTGCTGTAGTAGGTAAATACTCCAGGGGATGTTTATGTCGTTTGTTTTATTACACATATAAAACCATACCACAACTTTTTTTGCACTTAGCAGTGTAGCAGGCATATCTTTCCATGTCCATAATTCAAAGAAATCTCTCTCTCTACCTGTCTCCCTCTCACCCCCCACCTTATTTTTGTCTAGCTGTTTAACATCCCGTTAAATGGTTTATTCATTCACCCAGTTCTCTTTTGATGAAGATTTAGTGGTTTTACACATTTGTTTGGGTTTTGCCGTTATAAGCAAGGCAGGAATGAGCACCTTCATACATATATCTCTGTGCTGGTACTTCTAGAAGTTGAACTGTTGGCTTAGAGGGCTAAGTGCATTTTAAATTTTGATCAATTTTACCAACTTGTTTTCCCAAAAAGGTTGTACCAATTTATACTTCCACCAGAAGTGTGAGTGACTCTGTGTCCTCACCAACACTGGGATTGATCAGTCCTTAATCCTCGTTTTAATCTTGCTTTGATTAGCATTTCTTTACTGATGAGGATTTCGGACTTGGATAACCATGAAGTAAGGGTCAGATAGAAGGTGAGCTATTTGGCTTAGTAATTTTTTGCACTTGCTCAAGTTGGGTTGGGAAAATATATTTGTAAATGCAGTCTGGCTGTCAACGCCTCTGGGGTTTTACAGTCTACATTCCTGCCAATATCTAAAGTCTTTTCAAATTCATAATGTCTGTAATAGGACGCAGTGGCATTCATCACTTCAGCTTGTCACAACAAAAGATGGGTAGCAAGAGTGGAATGCTTCTTTGTTTCTAGACTTTTCCTTGAGAATTGCTAGCCCCGCGCCTGTTAGCCAGGCCTTGTTGGGGTCTGACTCGGGTCTCACTTGTCCAGGTTGGCAGTGGAATCCCTCTGACCGGCCCTCCTTTGCTGAAATCCACCAAGCCTTTGAAACTATGTTCCAGGAATCCAGCATATCAGATGGTAAAGTGCCGTCCTTGGGTGCCTGCAGTGGGGTGAAAGGTTGGGGTAGGAGGGACGCCTGTGTGGGACTCCAGCTCTGGCTCTGTAGCTCACTTCCAGGTCCAAGTGTACGGGCCAGCAAGTTACCTGAGACCAGAAAGATGGGCAGAGGTGTTGAGTGTATAGCCATGCAAAATTCTGAAAATTGTGAAGTGATGTTTCTTTAGCATTTCTCTCTCTCTTCTGTAACTGTGTAGGTGACCACTGTTACTTTAAAAAGAAAAAGGAAACCAACATACCAAAATGACAGCATTACTGATGGCTGCTGGTTTTTGTGTTTTGTTTTTTTGTTTGTGTGTGTGTGTGTCTGTGGTTCTCAGAAGTGGAAAAGGAGCTGGGGAAAAAAGGCATGCGAGGGGTTGCAAGCACTCTGCTGCAGGCCCCGGAGCTGCCCACCAAGACGAGAACCTCCAGGAGGGCCGTGGAACACAAAGACCCCACCGATGTGCCCGAGACACCCCACTCCAAGGGCCCAGGAGAGCCTGGTATGTCCCCACCCCACCCCACCGCGGGCCCAGGAGCCTCAGCAGCCTCAGGGCCAGTGTGGCAGATGGGAAGCCGTGCGCGGAGCTGCACAGAAGGGCAGGCAAACCCCACGTTAGTGGTCCAGCAGCGGAAAAGGCTCTCCTCTCCCCGCAGCGTCCTACCCCTCCCTCTGGGCATCATTAGGGGCCATTGGCTTCAGCAAGCAGGTCAGTCAGCTGGGCAGAGGTGCTTATGAAACCCACTGAGAAGGGCCCACCTTTTCACGTGTCACCACAGCACTGTGGTTGGTGCTTGTGCAGGGCACATGCAGCAATAGTGAGTATCGAACCAGGCGGAGAGCGGCTTGTCGTGAAAGCACTGGCAGGAGCAGCTCACTGGGACTGACGGGACCAGGAGACACCTGCAGCCCAGAGCTGGTGTCCTCGGGTGTCTCGGAGAAGGGCGAAGGGGATGGGAGTGGTTTGGGAGGGGTCTCACGATGTTGTCAGGAATCGTATTAGCAAGCACTGGTCTGGTGCTTCCTGTGTGCCAGGCTCTATTCAGAATTAGGCTGCTCTGATGGAGCAGTGGCCCCTGCCCCCCTGCTCCCCCAAACCCCAGAAGTCTGGGTTCTGATGCAGACAGGCTGAGGTAGGCCAGCATCTGGTTTGTAGAGGCTCCTAGGGGATGCTCAGATGGACCACGGACTGAGTGGGAAGGGACAGGACAAAGCGGGGATTAAGGGAGGTTTAAGCACAGCAGAATCTGGAGCCACGATTCCCAAATTTTTCATTATATACCCATATTAATAAGAAAAAGTTGAGGGGGCGGCCGAGTGGCTCAGTTGGTTAAGAACTCGCTCATGAGTGCGAGCTCTGAGCAACAGGGTCGTCGGTTCAATTCACGGCCCAAGCTGAGCTGCCAACAGGTGGCAGGATGGCTCAGGTAAAAAAAAAAAAAAAAAAGTGAATGTGCAACCTATATACATCGGGGGTGCCAAAAAAATGTATACAAGTGGACACTTTGGTCAGCATTGCTCAAGCAGTAGTTCGCTGTAATCAAGTGTCTGGACTCTATGGGAACCACTTTGAGCACCTCTTACAATTGCAGAAGTCAAACATGACTCATATGCATCTTTTGTTATTGGTATATATTGCGTGTTACAATTTTAATACAGTTTTCCTGTCTTAAAATGTGCATACATTTTTTTGGCACCCTCTGTACATGGCATATACATGTACTACTGCACCAGTATATTAAGTGTATTATAAAATATACCAAAAATATACACTGAAAAGGTTTACATAAGGAATCTATCCAAATTAGAATGCTTGCTTTCCACACCCCTCTGGGTCACCTCACCGGAGGGGCCATGGCATATAAACTACCCAGGACCGTGGCCCCTCCGTCCTTCCCTTAGTTGTCATGTTTCAGGTAGTTGAGCGGAGGGGAGGAGGAGAAGCCGCTGTGGAAACTTGGGGTTTATGATAAGGCCGGTAACGGGCAGTCTAGTTCGTGTTTGCCCGTCAGTATTCCGCGAGGGGTGTTTGGTGTCTGATCTATGGTGAGTCGAGGTGTCAGCTAGCTGACCAGCGCTGAGATAGAGTTGTGCACAATTCATTAGAATTTTACCTTTGCCTTCTTCCTCTGGCTTAAATTTTAGGGACAGTCTCTGGCTTTCCCTGAATCAGATATCCTGCATGCCACCTGATGTTTTGATAAATGCCCCTTGTACCTCTGCTTTGAGTTACAAGGTGTGACAGAAAACCTCTCTTCTTGTAGCTGCCCCCTGAGGGAGAGGTCTGTCATTCACTAGCAGGGAGCTTGGCAACACCAGAGAGATTTCTTAGGAGCCATTACTCATATTTAATGATTTAAAAAATGGAAAAGGTCACCCCTTCTTGTTTCCCAAGCATAATGACCATTGTCACTGCTCCCTGTGGGACGTGTCCCGTTCCCTCCAGGTCACACCTCGTAGAAACCACCAGCTGGCCGCTCTGAGAGGCACAGGTTCTGACCCTTTGCGGGCCTTATCGTGGTTGTTACTCACCAGGCAGTGAGAGGACTCTGCGGATATAAAGGAGACCAGTACAGGGATCGGGGAGCCGGGGATGTCCCGGCCTTTTGTCCCTCTGTCTTCAAGGCCAGAGACCTAAGCTTTTCCTAGTAAGAATACTAACAATGACAGTAGTTACTGAGAAAGCGCTGTGGTGGATGCCCCGTGTTCACTGTTGTATTATACTCTCTCGACAATGCTATGAATTGGTTTTATTATCCTCCATTTTATAGCTGAGGAAGCTGAGGATGAATGAAGAGAAGTAATTTGCCCAGGGCTCAGGTGAGCGGCAGAGCTGGTAGCCACGCCGGGGCTTTCACAGTCCAGAGCCCAGCCCCGGGGCCAGTCCTCTGCAGAGAGCAGTCGGCCGGCCTGAGGTTTCCCGCCTGCCCGGGAGCCCCTGGTCTGGACTTGTTAAACCCTCCCCAATGTGTTTCAGACCCCCTGGACCACGAGCCTGCTGTGTCTCCACTGCTCCCTCGAAAAGAGCGAGGTCCCCAGGATGGTGGCCTCAATGAAGATGAACGCCTTCTCCCCAAAGACAAAAAGACCAACTTGTTTAGCGCCTTGATCAAGAAGAAGAAGAAAACGGCCCCAACCCCTCCCAAACGCAGCAGCTCCTTCCGGGAAATGGACGGCCAGCCAGAGCGCAAGGTGGCGGGTGAGGAAGAGAGCCGCGAAATCAGCAATGGGGCGCTATCCCTTGCACCTTCAGACACAGCCGAGCCAGCCAAGTCCCCAAAGCCCAGCAGCGGTGCTGGCGTCCCCAACGGAGCCTTCCGGGAGCCAGGGGGCCCAGGCTTCCGGTCTCCCCACCTGTGGAAAAAGTCCAGCACACTGACCAGCAGCCGATTAGCAGCCGGCGAGGAGGAGAGTGGCGGCGGCTCCAGCAAGCGCTTCCTGAGATCCTGCTCTGCGTCCTGCGTGCCCCACGGGGCCAAGGACACAGAGTGGAAATCTGTCACGCTGCCGCGGGATCTGCAGTCCACAGGGAGGCAGTTTGACTCGTCCACATTTGGAGGGCACAGGAGTGAGAAGCCAGCTCTGCCACGGAAGCGTGCAAGTGAGAACAGGTCTGACCAAGTGACCAGGGGCACGGTGACGCCGCCGCCCAGGCTGGTGAAAAAGACGGAGGAAGCGGCTGACGATGTCTTCAAAGACACAGCCGAGTCCAGCCCCGGCTCCAGCCCTCCCAGCCTGACTCCTAAACTCCTCCGTAGGCAGGTTGTGGCAGCTGCTCCCTCAGGTCTTCCCCACAAGGAGGAGGCCGGGAAGTCCAGTGCCATCGGGACAGCTGCCGCAGCGGAGTTGGTGCTCCCCACCAGCAGAGTGGGGCCAGGTGCCTCGGGAGGGACCAGCAAGGGCCCTGCTGAGGAGCCCAGAATGAGGAGACACAAGCCCTCCTCCGAGTCCCCAGGGAGAGACAAGGGCAAGTTGTCCAAGCTCAAACCTGCTCCCCCGCCCCCCCCACCAGCCCCCATCGGGAAAGGGGGGAAGCCCTCTCAGAGCCCGAGCCAGGAAGCAGCTGGGGAGGCAGGCGCCAGCGGGAAGGCGAAATCCCTGGCTGTGGTTGTGGATGCTGCCAACAGTGACGCTGCCAAACCCAGCCAGCTGGGAGAGGGCGTCAAAAAGCCCGCGCTCCCATCCATGCCAAAGCCACAGCCATCCACCAAGCCGGCGGGGACCCCGACCAGCCCAGCCCCCACTGCCTCCGCACTGCCATCAGCATCCTCAGCCCTGGCGGCGGACCAGCCGTCCTCCACCGCCTTCATCCCACTCATATCGACCCGCGTATCTCTTCGGAAAACCCGCCAGCCTCCAGAGCGCATCGCCAGTGGCACCATCACCAAGGGCGTGGTCCTGGACGGCACCGAGGCCCTGTGCCTGGCCATCTCCAGGAACTCCGAGCAGATGGCCAGCCACAGCGCCGTGCTAGAAGCTGGCAAAAACCTCTACACATTCTGCGTGAGCTACGTGGACTCCATTCAGCAAATGAGGAACAAATTCGCCTTCCGCGAGGCCATCAACAAACTGGAGAATAATCTCCGGGAGCTTCAGATCTGCCCGGCAACAGCAGGAAGTGGCCCAGCAGCCACACAGGACTTCAGCAAACTCCTCAGCTCCGTGAAAGAGATCAGTGACATTGTACAGAGGTAGCAGAAGCTGGGCGCCAGGCCAGCCGGAGCTGCCTTCCGTGCCCGAGATGGTGGCTGACACGGGACCAGTGAGCTGGGACCTTGGCCCAGGAACCGAGGGCCACCGTGGAGTACAGCCCTACTACCTATGTGCACCCACTGTCCTCCAGCACTTTCCTCCTCCTCAGCCGGGCTCCCGGAGCCACGTCTGTCCTGAGTCCTGTCTGTGACGTCCCCGCTTGGGGGACTGCAGCTGGCACACCAGTCCCCTCCCCACAGAGCGCTTCAAGGCTGAGCTCTTCCGGGAAGGCCGGGGCAGCGTTTCCTTTTTGTTTTTCTTTCTGGAGGATCTCCTCTGGCTGTGCCTCCTTCTCCATTTTCCCTAAGAACGAGTGCCCTCACCCGGAGCCGTGTCACCCTCACTCACCCGGTGGAGGGAGCCTGTCCCCTCATCCTCCTCGCGCCTCCTGTACTTCAGACACGTTTCCAGAACAGTATCCTGGGAAGCTCTGCCCGCTGGTCACTCTGCCCTCCACTGCTGCCGGGGGCTGATGCCCTCACCATTCCCTCATGTGAAGGACAGCTCTTGATTTGGGGGGGAAAACAGGGTGTTAACAGCAACCAGCCCCTGGCTCCCAGGACGGGTGGGGAAGTGAAGAGGCCCTGCCATCCATCCTCGCTGCGTGTCCTCAGAGCCCAGCCCCTTGCTCTCTTGTGACATGCACTGCTCATCCTGGATAGAAAGCTTGAGTCTTAATGGTAGCAGGGTCGCTGTCCAGCATGTGGGGCGGGGGAGGCAGGAGGGGGCGCTTGCTGGGTGAACCGCTGGTACCCGGACGGCCTGGCTCTGGGCCCAGGCAGGTCTGCCCTGGGCCCAGGGCTCCCTTACTTTTGAATTTCCAAGTATCCTGAAAAGACACTTTGTCTTGATTTCTGACCGATTTCTTCCCCCTCCCTTGTGCTCTAAGACAAAGGAGATTCTTGCAGGGTTCTTTCTTTTGTAACAAGCCAGTCTTCAGTTTTTCTGGAGTTCTTGAAGCATTTCAAAGCCCTGCCCTCAGCACAGCTGCCTCCGATACAGACTTTGGGCACCAACACGCTCACAGGAGGAAAAGGGCTGGGAGCACCAAAGCCCCAGCCAGTGTCAGCTGCACCCTCGTGGGCAAACATCTTCCTGTATCACCACACCCACCACTTAGCCTAATGTTTCTGTTGGGGTTACTGGGGATGAAGAAAACCACAAACAAAGTGAAACCCCAGACAAGAGCAGTCTCCCCTGGGCTGCCCAGGACCAGGCTCGTTGGGCAGGGGCCCAGGCCTCCTTGACCTTGACCTAGAGCAGCTACTGAAGAGTGGCACCTGCCTGGGCCTGACTGCAGGCCCAAAAACAACCCTTGGAGAAACCAGGACAAAACCACCTTCTCGTGACTGTGACCCCACCAGGCCCCGTTTTTTCGCTCATCACCTAAACCAGTATTTCTCTGGTAGAGATGGTTTCCTCTGGACCGTTTTATGCTGTTCTCACAGCGCATCACCTCTGCCCCGCCCCAGACTGCTGTGTTACACAGACTGAGGGAGGTGCTAGAACACCACCAGTGGCCTTGCAGACAAAGCAGACACCCCACCTAGGTTCCTCGCCTTCCGTTTCCATGAGGTACTGGCCTCTCTTTCTTCACATGATGTGCCACTATATTTTGCATTTATACCTTGGTATTACACTCTGGTAGACTCGCTGTTTTATAAATGACGTGTAAATACTCTTCCACTGTCTCCCCTTCTCGAATGCCTATGGTGTCTTTTTTTTTTCTGGTCCAATACATTTAGTTTCTGTATATGACTGTGTTTTTTGAATCCACATCTCTCCTCTAGTATTTTTTAAATAAATGTTTACAACATTAGGACTTGGGCAGGTTGCTTTAACCCCGTTGTTAGAGCCATGGCGCGTGTGGGAAGGGAGGGGCTGGAGGGTGCGTGTTGGGTTTGACAGAACAGCACAATGGCGGGATTGCGGCAGCATCCTGTGTCATCAGCCCTTCACAGGCAGTTTCGCGGCCCTCATCCCAACCCCTTCCTGCGCCCTTGACACTTACTTGCTAGCAGCCCGGCCCTTGTCAGCGGCACTGAGTGGGCTGTGCCACTGCCAGGGCCACATCTGCCTGACTGGCATGGGAAAGGAAGGGCTGTGCCAACTGTCAGGCCGTCACAGCGTCATTGAAATGGGGGCGGGGAACGTGATGTTCTGATTCCTCACTGGCCTGAGAGCTAATCCCTCCACTAGCGCCTTTTTTCTTTCGCTGCCTTTGAACTCACTTCCTGCCACTGCCCTCAGCCCCCGAAGCGCCCCTCACTTGTGTTGACACCCCGGGTGATGGAAATACCATTCGGGCCCTGCCTCGGCCTCCCCAAGCCCCCCAGCAAGGGACTGTGGGTGGGGGCGGTGCCGACGTTTTCTCATCTTGGTCTGCATTTGACACCAGCTGACAGCTTGAGAAGTGGAAGTCAGGGAAGGAGGGAGCGCCTTCGGATAATGATACTTATTAAGCCCGCAGACTTGTCGGAGTGCACAGCTCCTGCTCAGCAAAGCGTAGTGAGGAGCACGGTTCAGCGAAACCCTTTACCGGAGACCTCAGGAGTGACATGTGCGACGCGCCAGGTGACAGTGGTGAGCACACTACCTGGGACGTGGGCTGCTCAGTGGCCACGAGCAGCACCAGAGGCCAGGTCCACAGGCACAGCCCAGGGCCCAGGCCACAGAGCCTGTGAGTGGCTGAACCGTAACTGGCCACCAGGTCTCCTGAGTCGGGGCTTTCCCACAGGTGATAGGGCCTTCCCTTGAATGACAACTCAATTCAGAAAGAAGACGTAGAATGATGATCGTGGCAGCCACAGTGATGGCTTCTTCCTTCGTGTCAGACGTGGACTGGTCATGGGAGCTTCGCGGCAGCCTCTTGGGCAGGGTGTTACCCCGGTTTTCCAGGGCTCAGCAGTGAGTGGCGTGTCCAGTCATATCTCATGCACGGTGTCACACAGCCGTCACCTTGGCAGCTGCGCCAGTGTGCAATGAGAGTCATAAACGACAGTTCTCCCTAAGAACCTTCCGTATATGTCGCCTGAGCGTAAAAACTAGGTCACAGAACCCTTTGAGAACTTACTGCAAACTGGATCTAGCCCCTGAAAAGTGCACATATGACAGCTTTCAGGTCATTTTGACTCCTGCCCTCAAGTTCCAGAACCTAGGAGTACCCAAGGGCCAAGCCCTCCGACGGGCTGGTATCGTTATCATGAAATAAGAGCCCAAAATGTCAGAAATGTTAAAAAGCAAGCACTTAAAGATCCCCAAACTGAAAATCCAGATGTGATTGGCAGAAGAAAGGATAAGTACACGAGGCACGTTGGGTGGCGGAATGTCACGGAGCAGTGAGAATGCACCAGCTGTGCCGCACCCAGAGGAGGAGTGACTCGCACAGACAATGTTAGCAGGAGCAGCCAGACAGACTGGTGATACCAGAAGCTCCCGTTTATTTAAACGGGCACGGCTAGTTGGTGAAACGGTGTGGGAAGTCAGGACGGAGGGTCATTTAGGGGTAGGGGTGCATGCCGGGAGCTGTGGGGGGTGGTCTTGGTCTGGGTGGTGCTGGCTAATGCGTGTCGTGGTGAAAATCCGTCAAACTGAACCCTGAGGGGCACTTTCCCGATGTGTGTGACATCTCACTGAGCATTCCTAAGATCCCAGCTCACGGGTGCGCTGTTGGTGCCTCCGCAGCTGTGCTCAGCGTTACCACATGAAGCCCTCACACCTTGTTTTATGAAGGAGGTTCTGTCACTGTCCTCATTTGACGGGTGAGGAAACGGGGGCTTAGAGATGTAAAGCCGCTTTCCCAAGGTCACACAGCACGTGCCAGCTTATAGCTCCTGTGCAGATGGCCACAGCAGGACTGGCAGAGACCTGTGCTCTGGGGCCAGGTTCCTCCCTCTATTGTCAGGGAGAAGACGTCAGTTATAGCTCACCCAGCTTCTCAGGTGTCAAGATGTTTTATAGGAGGTGTCCCCAAATTGAGCACTCTGGGAAAATCAGTTTCCAGTTTCTAAATGTTGTCTTGGCGTAGAAGATAAGACTGACCAGCCACGGTGGCCTGCCCACGCCTCCCCTCATTGCTGGTGGTCACCCAACGTCTTGGGCAGGGCCCCCGCTCCCCACTCAGGGTGGAAGCACCTTGTGTGGGTTGGGTCTTCAGTGGAATGTGTTGTGCAGCATCTTTGGCACTGGGGCCAAGTCAGGATGAGGTGGCTCCTTGTCCATCACAGCAGCTGCCTGGTGGCTTGCTGCCCCCACGAGTCTCCTTTCTTAAACATTTTTATTAATATTTCAAACATAGGAAGACAGACAGAAATACTCCCCATGCAGTTTAATAGCTAAATACTTTTACATCTACACCCAAGATGAAGACTTTTGTGTTGAGAGTAAACATGAATGGATGCAACAGCTGTCAGGTGCCTGCCCTGGACGGGAGCAGCCGCCACTCCAGGTGGAGGAACCCGGGCTGCCCGGGAGCTGACTCTGCTTCCAGAATTCATGTTTTCCAGCGAGCTTCCCTTCACATCTGGAGGGTAACCTTCCCCACCAAGCAGAAAGCAGGGCCGCAGGGCGGTGTGAGAGGCCCCAAACCTGGACAGCTGGTGGGGTTGGGAGTGGGGTGGGATTTAAAGAGGCGGTTTAGCCCAAGTGGTGGGAGTGGATTTAACACTCTTAGCAGTTTGATCGCTCTGATTGTGAGGGTTATTGAGTGTGGATATACAGGCAGCTGGAGAGAACAGCGTTGATTTGTGTTTAATGATGAAAGTTAAGGACAGGATATCCACGCCTTGAAGGCCTTCCCACCCCTTCTATCTCAGATTTCTCCATAGAGGTTAATCTAATCCAAACTAAACCAAAGACAAGCCAGGGCTTACCCAAAGGTGTGTAAACACACACAGGAGTGTCTCAGCCTTGGTGGCCTCCAAGTCACATATTAGTGACCATGGGAGCTGCTCTTTCTGTTTAGGATGTCTTCTCATATTGTAAGAGTAGAAACCGGCAAGTGAGGGGCAGCCAGCGGGCCGTGCTGGCCCTGCCCGTGGTCTGCTTTACCTGGTCGTTCATGTGCGAGCTCTCCGGCTCCTTGCATGGGCAAGCAAGCTGAGGGAGGAGCGGTCCAGGTTGCTGCCCCCTCCCCCTTAGGGTAGAAGTGGGCACTGGGGTGAGACAGCCTGGGCCGGAATCCTGCTAGCCTCGTCCAGCCACCCTGTGACGTGCATCTCAGCGCCGAGCTGTTCTTTACAGACAGTCACACTGGGGCTCGTTTACTTGAGGTTTGCCCTCCGTGGCTGGAGGGCTGTTTGCTTCTGTTAACCAACAGACGAAGACCCAGGGACGTATTCCATCCCCATCAGACTATCATGTTAGCAGGAGGCATCCTGGGTTACCCCCTTCTGGGACAGTGGTGGCAGCCGGAGTATGATGTCCCCTGCTGGTCTCTGTCACAGCAGCCCTGAGCCCCCGGGCTCGTGAACCAAAGCACAGGAGTAGCGTAGGGTCGTGTTCTGACTCCCGTGCTCCTGTCACATCTTCCCCCCCTTTTGCCCCCCGCCCCAGCTCTGCTTCCTAGTCAGCTGGCTCTCCTGTGGCTCAGATCTGTGTTCCCCTTAATGAAGTGGCTTTCTAGCTGCCGTGGACTGAGAGCTGCTACTGGGGGATGTGAGTCACTAATAGAATGGAGAACACTGTGAAATACTCTGAGGTGTCAAGCTGGGCCCAGCCCAGTGTGGTTCTAAAAGGCTAATAAAAATCCACCAATTAATTGTGACAGCTCAATGGGAAATTATTCAATTGTGAACAGAGATAGGCAGCAGCTCGAAAGGAGGAGGGGAGATGTTGCCATAGTAACATCAATACAGGTTCTCATCTCAGCAGTTGAAGCCAGCCTGGGAGTGAGCAGCGTCAGGCTGCTGCGTCTGACACAGGATGGGACGCAGGACACCCCGGAGCAGCGAGTGGAAGAGACGCTCTGTGGCCCCAGGCTGAGTGCTGGCTACCCACCCACCCACCCACCGTAGAGATGGGTTCCCTACACCCTTGACCGTGGGCATTTTACCAGCTGCCAATTAAGGGGACACTGGGAGAGGTGAGTGGGCGCGTGCGATTTCCCCAAAGCTAAGCCACTGGCAGCTCAGGAAAGGGCCGTTCCTGGGGCACAGAGGACCTGCAGGCAAGAACCAGGCGAGCTTCCCACCTCCGTTCTGCAGTTTACAACTTTTATTTCGCAAGAGCCGTTCAACACATTCATACTCCGAACATTTGAAATGCAACCTTGCTACAGCAAAAGTGAAGTCCTTGTTCAACTCCCACGAGAGCGGTGGCTTGGCAAACACTGTGCCACCAGGAAGGACAGTTACCAGAAGGGAATGGCAGCTGGTTCTGAACAGCAGCTCGACGCCACAGCAGGGTTTTCTTGCCAGAGGGATCTTGTGTTAATGGGGTGGAGAACAGGATTTTATTTTTTCATTTTTAACTTTCAGAACCATGCTCTGTGCCCAGTGGAATGCTCTCATTCACAGTTGCACTTTGGATGTCAGCTACAGACGTCCCTGTGGAGACTGTCAAAACTTTGATTACCCCGCTGTAATCACTCAGTCCGCCTACCTTCCGCTTGGAGCCTGCACAGCCAGCTCTGCCTAGTCATTTTCGTGGCCCAATGGCGACCTCGGCTCTGTGGCTGGGGCCAGGAGCTGGTGAGAACCAGGCCGCGGGGAGGGGGCCAAAACAGACAACAGTGCCAGTGTCAGGGAGCTGCCGCAACGGGGGGCATTTTCTTCTTCGCAGAGATAGTTTGCTTTTGGTCACTTTATTGACACCACCCAGACTTTTGCTTCAGCAAAGTTGGAAATCAAAAGTAAGCACCCCCCTAACCAATCCTACTAATAATTCATTATAATAATACCCACGCCTCGGTCTGTGAGGCCTAAGGGGTGGAAACGGTGAGGGGAGGGTCTGAGGAGAACCCCTTTCCTGGATGCCCTGGCCCCTTCACCGCCGGCCGAAGCGGAAGCTAAAGCCGCCTTTCTTCCTGCTGTAGCCGCTGAGCTCCTCAGCCAGGGTCCCTAACGGGCCGCCAGCCTTCTCACCATCAGCCGGGAAGAAGCCGGTGGCCTCACTGCCATCATCCTGCCTCCCAAACCGGAACCGGAAGCCAGCGCGCTCTCTGCCTGACATCTGCAGCTCCTTGGCCATGACGAGCAGAGCGTGTGGGTGGGGGACGGTCGGCCGCCCAGAGGAGCCCCGTGAGACGCGGCCTTGGTGTCTCCCGGTCAGGTCGGCCCAGCTCATTTTGCCTCCGATGCCGCCCATGGCGCCCATGGGCTCTTCTCCATCCAGTAGAGGAAAGCAGATGCCCAGTGGCAGGAAAAGGAAGCAGGACAGGAAGCACGGGCTTCTCATCTGGTCCGGAGGGAAGAGAGAAGGAAGTTACAGGCTGCCACGTGGGCCATACACACTTAGCAGCACTACCCAGGGCCTGGGCCGCCATCAGAGGCGAAAGCTGCTGGCTCACCTGAGCCCACCCTGCAGACGGCATGAGGGAGTGGCGCTGTGTTCGGGCACCTGGCCTTTCTTCTCTTAGCAGGTTCAGGCGCTGATTGCACTAACTATTAGGCTGGTTGTCCCACCCCTGCAGCCCCCGGATTTGACGGCTGTGGCAGTTGAGCTCTAATTCCACCGCTGCTGGGACGGCTTTCAGCAGCACGCAGGCAGCCAGGGAGAACTTGGGTTCATTCTTTTATTGTGATTATAGACTATTGACCATATCATCTCAGAGCCACGGGGTAGGAAGTTAATGGCACCAATCTCTTCATCTTCAACTTAATAATAAACGGGCCTAGCTAAACTGTTTAGCTGGGACACTGCTAATGTCTTTCATGTGGAAATAAATTGTTCCGAAAAGCAGGAAACAGATCGGATAAACCTGGACTAACCCAGACCCACCTGGGGAGGAGAGAGTAAACGTGGCCAGGCGTCGATGGTCCCTAGCGAGCACCGTGTGTGCACGGCTGCACTTCATCTTCGCAATAAACCTAACTTGCAGGCAGTCATTCCCATTTTTTTCAACAAGAAAGCTGTCAGAAAGGCTGAGAGACTGTGCCTAGGCCACACAGCGAGAAAGCGAAGGCTCCGGGATTCGGGATTCTAATGGCACTTCAAGCTGGGGCGCTTTCCATCCATATCTGACACCATCCTTACAACCCTCCAGGAGGTATTAGTTCTTCCCCGTTACAGCGGAGGGAGCAGGCTCCAACAGGTGACTTGCCTGAGATCTCACAGCTTTATAAATGACAGAAGTGGGATGCAAGCCCAGGTCTAATGGCCTCACTCAGGATTTCAATGCGGATGGTGGTCTGTGTGTGGCAGTGAGGCGGGGTTGAAACCAGACTAGAGCTCACCGCATGCCCCTGCCTCTGCAATGACTGCTTATTCCCTGGCAAAGGAAGCCTTTTTGGTAACAACCGTGGCGAGTCAGTACTGGCTTGTCCTCTGACGAGGAGAATGGAGGCTGGAATTTAGAGAAGATGGCACAGACTCCCAGGGCTGTCCCCAGGAGTGGCTCCCTTAAAGAGGTTTCAGCGTGAACTCAGCCAGAAAGCTTTACAGAAATCACAAAAGCATCCCTCTACCCAAATCCAGCCCTCCTAAGCTGCTCATCGGGGCTGGAGCCACCTCTAGCCTGCTTTGGGAAGCCCCTCCATCGGGCCTGGGCGGAGTGGGGCCCCCCACAGGTGTCTCCTCTCCAGAAAGTACCCGGACAGCTCTTTGGACCGGGGAGGGTCCCACCTGGCAGACGAACCCACCTCGGGATGGCCTCTGAGTCTTGACAAAGGAGACATCTTGATGCACAGAAGGAAGTGGCTGTTCTACCCTTTTGGGTGGTCATGGTCATGAACCCCTTCAAGAACCCGGTGGAAGCTTGGGACATTTGCCACTGAAAACTGGGCCCCAGCACAAAGCAGGGCGTCAGGCTCCAACATCCAGGACATGGCAGGAAGGGCACAGGATGGAAGACAGGAGCCAAGCCCTGGAAGGCAGCTGTGGCCAATTTCTGCTGCTCTGGACTCCAAGACAGCGCTGGCCTCGCCTCTCTGGGCCTTCCCAGCCCCGTGGTTGCCCTTTCCAGCTCCTGACCTGGATGAGGGCCTGAGCGGGGTTCCTGCAGGGTATGGAGCGGCTGTACTCACCATGCTGTGGGCCTGCTCCCCAGGAGGGCTGGGCAGGCTCCTCTGGGCTCTGGTCCAGGACGTGTGGCTCCCGGGCTCTCCCTGCTTTATATATGTCCCCTGGGTGGCCTTGCCACCCGCCTGCTCGCTCCTGCCTCTGACTGCTGCACATTCCTGACCCTGGGATTCCATTGGGGACTCCGGTGGTGAAGGAGGGGGCAGCGCTGGCTGCATTGACAAAAGGCCCAACGCAAACAGGATGTGGTCTGATGAGAGGGGCAGACCGGGCTGCTGTTTGCCCAGAGCCCCGCCTCACTTGGTGAATCATGGGCAGGGACCCTCCAGCCCCTGGAGGAGGCGTTGGCACCCTCCCTTAATAATTCTAATGGCCCTGCCTTTGTCAGGTCGGCCTCACTCCGGAGAGGCCGTGGGGTGGGTGGGTGTCCACACCTCACACCTGCCCGGCCAGCACAGCCACTCCCTTGGGCTCAGGAAGCCACACATCTGTGAAGTCAGCAATTGCCTTTCAGTCTAGCAGGTGAGCAGGTATTAGGAGCCGCAGTTCACCTCACGAGGGATGTCCGGTGCCGAGAGGCTGAGCAGGCAGTGGGCCACCTGCTTCCTACAGGCGGGGCGGAAGGGGCCCGGGCCTGGACCTGGGCGAGCGCCCCTCTCGAGCCCGAGGCGCCGCACCACTTGGTTTGCTCCTCAGAAGAGATGCCCGGTCTTTCCCGCGCTGTAACCCCGAGCCTGGCTCGGTGCCTATGCCCATTTGGGAAAGGATGGATGGACAGACGAGCAGTGCTTCGGAAACTCGGCTGGCTCTCCGCTGGGAGGCCGGCACACCTTGCTTTCTGAACCTCAGCTGAGAGAGGTCATACCACCTGTCCGGCCGCAGTAATAGGTCATGGAGATGAGGCTGTTGGCCCACCTTGGCGAGGGCTGGGTGACAGTTGTCATGGTCATCGGCGCCCACAGTGGAGGACTCCAGTGTTTGTCACTCTCTGGCCACTTGCTCCCAGGTAGATTTTCCCTAGGTGAGCTCACAGGTGTGGTGATGTCACCTGCACGGCATCCCCACAGTGGGCTATGGGGTGCGAGGGGGTGGCATCGTGGCCCCACGTGTCCCTGTGGGATCTGCTCTGGTCCAGGCATCTTGCTCACATCTCAGGGTGTGCGGTTATTCACCGCGCAGTCGGCCCTGCGTGATCACAGAGTCTGCTCCGGGCCCCGGCCAAGGGGGCCGGCAGGCGCCCAGCACAGGGGAAGCATTTGCCTGTGGGCAGCACCCCTCTGGCTGGCCGCACAGCCCCTTTCCTGCCCCGTCCTGTCCTGCCCGTGCCCTGTGCTCCCTGCGCTGTATCTGAGGAGTGCCTGTTCAGGAGGGCCAGCAGGAGGCGCCGAGACAGCCCTATTGGCTCACAGCCTCTGCTGCTCACCTGGCCCAGATTTTCCCCCCACTGGTTTTAGTGAGGCTGTGGCCGCCCCGCCGCCGTCTGGAGGCAGCTGCTCAGGCCAGGCTGGGGACAGCACAGGATTTCCTTCACCCAGCTGGCCTATCATCTTTGCCCGTGGGTGTTGGTGTGGGGGAGGTGGCAAGGAATCACCCCTGGGGGCCACCACCCCCATGGGAATACAGACGGCCTCATGGACACATCCCTGCCCCAGCAGGCTGGAATAGTTACTCCCCTCATGGGGGGAAGACGGCTCAGAGGGTCAGTGCTTAGCCCCAACCCCAGCCTTTCTTCTGCTCTCCAGCAGGAAGCGCTGGTTTCCCCTTGACCTTGCTGGAGAGAACGGAGTCAAGAAAAGGCAGATAGCCCATGGTTGACTTGGGGCCTTTTCAAGGGGTGCCCCCACGTGCCCCCCAGAACAGGTGCTGAGGTAGCTTCCATCGCTGAGGCCAGGGCTGCCTCAGAGGGCTGGCATGCGTGTGTGCGCATGTGTGCGTGTGTGTGCACATGAGGGAGGTGTGGGGTCATTTTATGTCCCTAGTTAACGCTGGTTGGTTATGACACTGGGTGCTGGTTAACGATGGGGCACGGCCTACAGTGGGTCACTAACAGGCTGTGAGGCCTTGGGCCAGACACTCGCCCTCTCTGTGAGCCAGCTCCACCAGCTGTAAAATGAGTTTTTGGTTCCCAAGCTGTGCTCTGTGGAATTCCTGGGGACACCGCGGATGGTGGGGAGGGCAGCTGTGGGGTCAAACCCTGAGGCCGCACCCCTGCCCCCAGGGGGAAGCCCCACCTGCTGTTGGACACCCTGGGTTCCAAGAGAAGGCTCTGCTGTGAAAACAGCCACGTGCCCAGGGGCCCTATTAGGACGAGGGCTGGGGCTCTGGGGAGTGGCCATCAAAAGTCCTGAGTGTTGGGCACAGGTTTGGTGTGGGGGCAGGGCTGGGGAGGAGAGTGGGGAGGCCCTCATGTGACCCCGACTCCTCAGCCCAGCTCCACCCGCCCTGCCCCCACCCTCATGTAGAGGTGCCTGGAGCCAAGTATGATGTCGGATTTGGTGACAAGCTTCCCAGCTTGGGTTTCCCAGTTGCCCCCAGAACACCTGACCCAAAAGATCATTTTCAAGTGCACTTCCTGGGCTCCTCAGAGCCTCTAGTGTCCCTTCAGGGAAGGAGTCCCCACACTTGAGCAGCTAGGGGCGGTGACAACTGTGACAGTTGGGCAGGGTCTAGGCTGCCGCTGTGTCTGAGAGAGCAATGGGATCCGTTCATGGTCAGCTTCTGCCACAAAGGCTGTTCCTGGCATCAGGGTAAATGGGGGGAGGGCCGTGGCTTTGGGAGAGGGGCCAGGGGGCCTGCTTTTGTGCAGCTTGGAAGCCACCAGTGTGAGGTTCCCTGGGAAGCCGTCCTGGAGGAGGGTGTCCAAGCTCACCCGCAGCCTGTCCTTGCTTCTCCAAGTGTGAACTGAGACTGGATGAGGGCAGGACCCGATGGGGCGACACAGACTGGGACCCCCTCTCCCACCTACCCTTTAGTCCCACGTGAGCCCTGAGAAGTGGGCTCCACGCCTGCTCAGCCGCGCACCAACGGTGACCTTGGGCAAGTCCCGTCACTTTCTGTGCCTCCATTTCTCCACCTGACTGTGGACGACATCAGTGTCTACATCCTGGGGGCCTGTGAGCTACTGGGGAAGGCAGGGCGGGGCTGGCATGGTCCCCACCCAGGCTGGCTGCTGCTGTCCAAGAGCCCAGGCCGTGCCCTCCTCCTGGGCTTCCCAGTGTGCTGTTGCCTCAGCTCCCGGCGGTGCTGCCTGAACACCGCCTGAACCCCTCCTGCCACGGGGAACCTCTTCTTGTGCTGTATTGTGCACTGTTTGTGGTGAAACGCAAGCACCCACTCAGCTCTAAGAACCTGTGACTCAGGCCACCGAGTTTTCCCATTTGGCTCCGTGAACTGAGCCAGAGCAGCTTCCTGCCCAGGGAGCCACCTCAGGGAAGGTTTGGTGGCTGCAGGGAGCAGCCGAGTCAAGCAGGCAAGGCCGCCCTCTGGGGCAGGTAGCCAGAACCACCTCAGTCACTTCCAGTGGCCTGGCTGGGGGTCCCGTCCCCAGGCATCCCTGAGCCTGTGTGGAGCTGTCTGAGCAGCAGGCCTGTATGCATCTTGGCAGAGGACATTGTAGCATTCCGGCCGTGGTCAGGGATGGACAGATGGGGGCCTCTGTCTGCCGCACATGCTGGATTCACAGTCAGCCCAAGTCCTGGGCATGTCCACTTCCCACTGACCCCACACGGGGTCTTTGACGCAGGGGCTCGATAAACACTGGATTTCATTAAATAAGCCCAGGGGACTGCTTTGTCCTTAAGCCTCAAATTGGTTTTATAAGTAAATAGCCATTAGGGGCTGTAGTTCTTAATAAAGACACTCAACTCCTCAGCCCCAAGAGACCCACAGGGACAGTTTGTCCCTTGGGGACCCTGATGTGATGCACTTGTGGAGCAGCCCAGGTTCATCCCCCGAAGCCCAGCCCCCCGCGCAGCTCCTGCGGGGACATAAGGTAGGTGTGGAACTGCGCCACCTGGGAGACGCGGGGGATGGTGCAGGAGGCAGTCCTGGAACCTGGGTGTTGCTCCACTGTGGGTGCCGAGCAGGGTTAGCAGCAGAGGCCTGGGCCGGGTCACCACGAGACTTTATTGGAAACAGGAACACACACGACATCAACTGTACATGGCCCAGACGACACCCGTCGCACGCCATGCTTTGCCCATGGAAGTTGTGCAGGCCCTCAGCAGCCCTGGTGCGCCCCCACCGACCCACCCAGACTTGTGTGCAGTCAGGCACAGCGGGAGGCTAAGGTGGCCAGCCTCGGTCTGAGCCCCCCGCCCCCAGGTCCAGCCTCAGTCCTCTGTTTATCGAGTCCTGCCAGCAGCTTGGTCCATTTGGAGTTTGGGGACAGCCCTCTCCTTGCAAGCATCTGTAGGAACAGGCCTTGGGGAGGCCCTGGCCCTTTGGACCAAGGCCCAGTGGCCTTTTTACTGGGTTTGGTACATCCACTGAAGTGTCCTTCTGCCAGCATGTTGCTCCTTACATGCCACAGGACAGAGATCTGCAGCTGACGGTGGGCCTCACTCATGTCCCTGGCCCCCATGTCAGCAGACATGGCCCCCCCTCTTCCTCCCTCCCCTCCTGCATAGCAGATGGAGCTGGCAGTTCCTGTTGACACTCCTCACTAATCCTCCAGACCCTGGGTGACAGGGCTCCCAGCTTCTGGGGTTCCAGCCCCAGCCAGAGGCCTGTGTGGGTAAGGGGCTGGGGGTGAGGGGACCAGGAAGAGGTGGGCACTGAGATACTGCTTCCGCCCCAAGATAAACATAAAACCTATTTACATGCAGCTGCAGAGGGAAAATGCAATTTGACAATTGCTCACAGTTCTGTCCTTATCTCCCGCTGGCTGAGCTGAGGCCGTCAGGGTGGAAGCCCAGGTCCGTCGGTCCTCTGGACTCGGGGAACTCAGGTGGCCAGCCTCTGGTTTAACTGAGATGTACCCAAAGTTTGGGGGACAAGGCCTGAGGCCCCTGGCTGATTCCACAGAACCTACCTGTGTTTGTGAAGAGGATCTTTCAGAAGTGGGGGGATGGGGGGCGGGGGAGGGTAAGTGCACTGCCTTAAGATTCCAGTATAGAGACCCACCTCCCCTGCTGGCTCCTCTCTTCAAAAGAAGGAACTGGGGAGGGGGGTTGGTCAGATGACATGGGTTGGCAGGGCCACAGGCACCCCACCATCAAATCAGGCCCCATGGGTCAGGGTTCAAGTGCAGTGACTATGGTCCCAGGTGATACTTGGCACATGTCTGTCATCCCTCAGGTTTTGTTGGAGCTGCCCCTCTCCACTGGCCCTCCCAGCATCCCTTTTTTCCTGTGGCTACTGCCATCTGACATCGCAGCGTGGGCTCCTCGAGGCCCGGGCCTGGGCCCACTTTGCTCATGGTAGCTTCCTGCCCTCCTGCCCAGAGCGGGTCCGCAGGGCCGCCTGTGCTCAGCACCAGCCTTTGAAGGGGTGTCCTTTGGGAAGGGGGCACACTGGCCTCAGCTGTCCCCATTATGGTGGGCTTTGTGCCCATTCAATTGGTGTTTGGTTCGGCCATGTCCCCCTAGTGGTGCCAGGCCTGGGCTGGTACTCTCAAGCAGGGAGAAATGGGTGTCTCCAGGCCGGCCGGACGCTGACTACAGGCCCCTGGAAGCCACCCTCACCCACCCCCCTGCCAGGCCCAAGCTGGGGCACATCTGTCCCTCTGCCAAGCCCTGGCAGGAGCAGCGCGACACACACGCACAGCTGTGAATCCATTAACATCACACTCACCAGGAGTTTGTTTGATGACACATCAGAAAGCGCTTGGCACTTTCTAAACAGCGGCTGGCACTGCAGAGCTGGCAGCAGAAGCCAGCTCCAGCCTGGGGCTGGTGGGGGAGAAGGGGACTCCCCAGAAAGAGAACTTGGGGTCTCCCCAGACTCTGCTCCTTGGCTGGGGGGGGGTCCCAGTGGCCCAAGTGGGCTGGCTCTCTTGGCTTCTAAATGATGGGCAAGGGGTCTTCCCTTCAAGTCCTGTGTGGTCATCTTACGTCCCTGTCCCCACTGCCCCCAGCCCTGCCTGTGCCTGGGCTGCGCATGTCACACTGGGCTGTAAGCACCTGTTTCTTGCCCGTCTCTGCTTTGAGCTGAGTGCCAAGAGGGCAGAGACTCGGTCTTGTCCAGCATCCAGGGCAGGCCCTGGCCCACAGCAGATGTCCAGCAAATCTTTGCTGACCGCTGACACCTAGGTGGAGCTACAGGGAGGGGACCAGCCAGGTTGCAGGGTGAGTCAGTGGCACTCAGGACCTTTCCTGCTGCCCCCGGCTAACTCGGATTTATTATGATTGAAGCACAAACTTCGGTGGGAGGGGAAGGGAGAGCTGAGCCCCATGACATGTCCTGTGAGGGTGTCCTGCCTGAGGAGTCGTCGGTGCTGTGCACCCTCTGGGTGGTTCCCCAGGCTGACTTCTCAGCCCTCAAAGCCCCCACCCCCATCAGGTACCCACAGGTGGGAACTTGGAAACAGCCCTGCAGTTGGTTCTGACAGCAAATGCACGAGGGCCCCTAGGCTGTTGAGCAGGAGGTTAAGTCAGGGGTCCCGGCCCGGCGCTTCCTGGTCGCTGACCTTGGGAACCTGTGGTTCTTGTTGCGGGCACACAGTGATAGCATGTTGGGGGGATTCAGAACATGTCTCTGAGTGCCTGGCTGGTTCCTCAGTCTCCCGGATTTGCCCAGTAAGGCCTCCCTTCCCCCTGACTCGAGGTGGCAGTCGCCACAACTACCAGCAGGGAGCAGTCTCTGGGCAGATGGGGTAATAGCTGCCAAACCCTTCCAGGTCCAGCCTCCACCCTCCAGGTCTGCTCCTTGGGGGCCTTAGGATCCTGGAGTCCCTGGAAATTGGTGGTAGGGGTGGTACCAGCCCCACCACTGCCCAGGAAATCAGGAGGTCCTCACTGGCTGGGCGCAGACCAGCGGTGCAGGGCCTGCACCCTCCTCCCACAAGCATGAGAATGGGGTGAGGCGAAGCTCCGGCTGCTCCAGGAAAGCAGGGCGCTGGGCACAGCAGCCAAGGGCACTGCAGGGACATGGGGTTAACGGGTGGGGCGCTCTAGGAACCAGCCTCGGCCACCTTGGGGCTTGAGTCCCCACTGGCAGATGAGCTACAGCCTGGCCTGGGGACACGGTGGGACCCCATGGCAACCGGCTACCGGCAGCCCTCAGCGCCAGCAGCTCTCCAGGGTCTTAGGGTAGAGGTGGGCGTTCCAGGCACCATGGCAATGAGGGAGGCGGTTGGGAGGGCCCGAGGAGGCTGGTCTCAGACCTGACTGAAAAGATCCGAACATTCCCTTTTCTGGGGTGCTGTCTCCCCCTTCTCTGTGCCCCATAACGCTGGGTATTTGGCCTGGCAAAGTGGAAGGGCTGTCGGGGGGTGGGGGTGGGGGTGGGGTAGTGGCAGACTCCCGGCCAGAAGGCAGACGGCCCAGGAGCCAAAGTCTGGGCAGGTATTGATAGAATTCTGGGTCAAGTCTGCCCCGCCCCCTATCAGGGGCACATGGGGGCGTGGAAACAGTGTGACGCTGATGTGCGACTTCACCCGCCCAGGGGGCTTCGTGTCAGGGTTGGCTGGCGCACCCCAACGCATGAGCAGGTCAGCCAGGTGCGGGCAGGCAGACAAAAGATCAGGAGCGCGGCGGGGAGAGCGATGGAGACAGGGCGGGGGCGGGGCGGGGCGAGCGGTGGGCGGGGCGGGCCGAGCGGCGGGCGGGGCCGGCCTAGCGGTCCTCGCGAACCGGCCGGATCTTCATCTCGGAGAACTTGAGCGAGTACTGCCAGCCGGTCCAGGAGGACCACTCGACGCCGTCGGCGTAGGAGGCGTGCGCGCCGCGCAGGTACTGCCCGTTGAGGTTGGACGTGTGGCAGTTGCGGTACCACCAGGCGCCGCGGTAGAAGGCGGCGCAGTTGTTCTCCGAGTGGTCGCTGTCGCGGTCCTTGGTGGTGAACCTCATGCCGCTGTGCTTCAGGAGGGAGTCCCCTGCGCAGGCGCGCACGCACAGGTGTGTACTCAGGGGGCGCAGGTGCAGGCATGCGAGCACAGCTACGTGTGGGCGTGCACACACATGTACCCAGTGCCCCCCACGTCCACATGCTGGTGCTCACACGCCTGCCCCGACACACCCACGGTGCCACCTTCGGGTCCCTGTGGCTATCCTTGGGTCTAGGCAGGTTCTTCCCCTCTCCCAAGCTTTTTCATACACCCCCTTTCCTTGCTTTCTTGCTTTTCTGCCTGTGAGGAGAAACCCAGCCCAGAGGGGTTCAGCCACCACACTTTAAAGGCCCAGCAGGGCCCAAGCCCCAGGTGTCCCCTTTCCTGGCTCTGGGCTCATTTAGCTCATATGCAAAGTTGGGGAACACTCCATTGCTGGGACAAGAACCAGGTGGGACTTGGATGGGAAGGGGAAGCCTTCCTGACCCCAGAGGCCAGAGCACTTGACAGTCCTCCCAGGTGGGGAGACTGGTGGGCTGCCCTGCCCTTCTGCACCCCCGCTGCAGCCCGGAGCCCTACCTGCAGTGCCCGAGTAGTCGGCCACAGTGAGCGGGTACCCGTCCTCTTCGGGGTCCACAGAGAACAAGCCCACGCCGAAGTTCCCGTAGCGAGCATAGGCTGTGCCATTTTCAAAGTCCTCCAGGTCCACATGCAGCTCGTAGGCTGTCTGTGTGGTCAGCGCATGGAGCCTTTTGAGCCCTGGGTGGGGGAGAGAATGCAGGAGGAGTTGGGGGATTTAGAAGGAGACCCCACAGAGGGAACTAGGGAGAAATAAGAACGAAGCACATATGGTCGGTGACAGAAAGGGACAACCCCCAGTATCTGAGGTGGGGCTCAGTACACAATAGGTGCTCAATAAATGGATGAGAGGCAGAAGGTGGTGCCCCTAGGGCCTGGCTCTGTACCCCTCACACACACACAAACACCCAACCCATCTACTCCCTCCCTGTCTCTCTCCCCCCTCCTCAGCTCTCGTGTGCCCATCCTGGGGTCTCATGCCAGGCCTCCCCCCCCACTACCCCCCCCACACACTCACACAAGGTGCTTCCCTGCAGTTCTGATTACCTCTTGATGAAACGGCCATTTAATTAAACGCCTTACAAGTTATCAGCACTGAGTGACTGTTCATCAGCCTCTCCCTCCTGCCTGCCTTTCCTGAGCTGCCCCACTCCCCACCCACCGTGTGTGGGTCAGCGTGTGCATACTGATGTGCGGCCCTTCCCCACCCAGGCCGGTGGTGGGGGGAGCCTTGGCCCCCAGATCCAGCACGTCCCCGCATCCACGTCTTCCTCACCGAGGACCCAGGGAGGACTGGGCTGTGAGAGCACACGGCTCTGTCTCCCTGCCTGGTCTCCACTCCTTCCTGGGCTGGCATTGCACACCTGGGAAGTGGGCCTCAGGGCGTTGATGTGAGGGGTCAGAGGGCTTCCCAAGCTCTAAAGGGCAGGCAGCGGGCAGCGATGACAACAAGCACCACCTGGATGGCACTTACGACTCCAGGCACTGTTCTGAGCGCCTCACGTGGATTAACGGACCCGGTGAATGTGAATGAGTCCAATTTAACGAAAGAATCCCGCTGCACATATTATCCAGGTGTTTGCTGCTGCTGTCCCGACCCGGTGAGGCAGGTGCTCTCATTATCCCTATTTTATACGTGACAAAATGAGGCACAGGGAGGTTCAGTAGCTGGCCCAGGTCACGGTAAGTGGCAGCGCTGGGATTTGAGCCCAGGCAGATTTGCCCAAACTCTTTGCTCTCCCTCAGTTCTTGCCCTGGACAAATAGTCTGGTCCCCGAGCAGGGCGAAGGGAGGCCAGCCCCAGGGGTGCCGGAAGATTCTTCTCCCACCACCGATGGTCGCTGGTCCCAAAGGCCCACCATTAGCACAGCACTCCTTTGGGCTAAGCCTCGCTGTGGTCCTGATGGGCCGTCCCAGTGCCCACGAGGGGCCCCTGGGCAGGTGCCCCAAGGGAGGGGCGGGGCGGGGCGGGGATGCTGGGGCCTCTGGTTCCTCTTGGGTTCAGCTCACCCTTCTTCCCAGGAATGCCACCTCCCTACTTCCCTCTCTCTCCCCCTGTCTTCGCTCCCTATGCTTCTCCAGCCCTTGATCTGCTGAGATACTCACAGCCCCACTTCCCCAGGCCCCTGGGTGGTGAGCTGAGAGCCAACCTCATCATCCATCACAGTTCAAATCACAGAGCTTGAGAAAGGAGCCAGCGGATTAAAATGGAGAGGAAAACACTTAGACCCCAAGCCTCATACTGCTACCCAGTGAACTCCCAGACAGAGCAAAGATCTGAACCTAACATATAACACTAAAAAAAGCATTACAAAATAAGAGACATTTTCATAAAAATGGGAGGGGAAAACAGGGCCTGAAACCCAGAAGATAAGAAAGAAAATGCTGGCAGAACTCACTACATAAAAATTTTAAACTTCTAGGAAATAAGCAATAATTCCCCCCCCCCAAAAAAAGCTGAAGGATAGACTGGCAGTAAATATGTATCATGTGTATCTGACAAAGATCAATGACCTTAATATATAAAGAGTTCCCATAACTCAATAGGAAAAGACAAAACACTGAAGAGCAGGTGAATGTGCAAAGGAGGGGCGGTGGGGACAGCAAGGGGAAGCTGTGGGCTGGGCTCGAGTTGACATTCCAGTCAGGGCTCCGTGTCTGCCAGGAACTAATCAAGGCTCTGCTTAAATGTTTCCTCCTGCACCTTCCATTGCTGCTGATAGATTTCAATTAAGATGCCTGGAGTGGCGGAGGCACCAACGCTGCTCCAAGGGGGTGGCTGGTGATGCGGGAACAGGGTCCCCACCTAGCTGCCTTCTCCCTAGCTTTACACACTCACCTGGATGGCGGGGGGGACAGGAGAAGGTTCTCCCCACCTAGAAGCTTCTCTCTCCCGACCCCTATCCCTATCCTGCCCCTGCTTTCGTTCATTCAGTTCAAAGCTTGCAGGGGTTCCAGCACGTGGATCCTACCCAGGCTCCCCAACTCCAACACACGTGCAAACGCACGCACGCACGCACGCCTGTGACCTGTGTCACTTGCACCAAGTGACCACCCTGTCTGAGCCTCAGTTTGCTCATCCATAAAAGGGGAGGACCACAGCAGCCGCTACCCTCCCAGGCTGAAGTATGTAAAATGGGCGGGGCGCCCAGGAGGTGGCAGTAAGTAAGGACTGGGCCATCAAGTCCACACTGGGGTGTCTGGCCTCTCCTGCTGGACGGACGGTGCCAAGGACACAGCAGAGGTCAGAACAGAGGGTCCTGCCCTCATGGGTGCTAGGTCAGGGACACAGACATGAAGCAAATGACAGCTTAAATCACCACCCAAGTGCCTCTGCACACCCAGGGGAGTGGGCACACACCTGGCCCCTGGCCCAGGATCACTGCTCCCCTTCTCCCAAGGGTTCCACCGAAAGTCCTTACAGACCAGGGACCCTCCCGAACCCCACTGGGGCCCAGACCTTGGCGCTCGGCCTTCTGCTTGGTGCTCTGCACCCGTCACAGCTTCGCTGTCGCCTCCTCTCCCTCCTGCCCGGCCTCACCGGGGAGCATTCCGGATGTCCGTGCCCTGGGAAGCTGGAGTGGGACAGGGGGACCTTGGGGCCTGCGAGGTCACTCAAGTGCTGTGTGTTTACTTTAGCACAGTTAAAATATAAACGGGGTGACTGTTCATAGGGGCACAGGGTTTCCTGTTGGGGGTGCAGAGAGTGTTCTGGAATTGGACAGTGGCGATGGCGGCACAACTTGTGCATAGACTAAAAATCACCGAATTGTGCACTTTAAAACAGTGAATTCTGCCTCAACAAACAAACAAACCCCAAACCTCACCTCAAGCCACAACTCCCTCCCAAATACATAGGACCTCGGATCTGTGATTTTCATGAATGTTAGTCTTTAGAATGAAATTATGTAAGTCAAAATTTAAAGTACTGAGTGAGTTTGAAGATACATAGTACGTGAATAATAGTAACGCTACTAATATGAATCTAAGCCCTTTGAGCCCTGTGCTCCAGGCAGGGACTCTGTGCCAGCGCTGGGAAGGGTGCAGCTGTGCCACGGGACCGTGGGGAAGCGATGCTCTCTGTGTCCTGAGCATAGCACAGCTGACCTCCGCGGGCAGGGCAGTTTTGAGGCTGTCCTGGCCCTCCTGGTACATGGAACTAAGGCCTGCACCTCCCACAGTTCCCTGGACGCAGGACAGTGACGGGGTGCCAGGGCATCCTGGACAGGAGAAGCCCCCATGCCCACAGGACCCATCACGATGGCAGCGCTTGGACCTCATTCACTCTGAATGTACTGACCCCCTTCTGAGGCAGCGCCTGTGAGCTGACTCGACATGGGAGACGCAGACAGGCGTCCATCTGGGCAGGGCCCCCTCCCCCAGCCCCCCAGTCTGGGGCGCACGGGGGCTCTCACCTAACCAGTGCTCCCCTGTGAGCTTGCCGAAGCCATCCCGGTAGGCCTCCCAGCCGCGGAAGAAGTTCACGGAGCCGTCCTCCCTGCGCTGAAACACCTGCGAAGGGAGGTGAGGCTGGAGAGCTGGCGCCAACCACCCCAGGCTCCCCTCCCCTGCCCGCTGGCCTCCCCTTTCCCTCAGCAGCTGAGCTGGGACTCCAGAGTGTTGTGGTGGCCTGAGGTGGGACTGACAAACTGCCCCCAAACTCCCATTACGTCCCCGCAAGAAGGAACCATGGTCACCGGGGCAGGGTGGAGGAGACCCAGCTTCCAGGCCCACCTCTGCCCGCCCTGGGCCCCTGGACTGGTCCCGTCCCTGCTTGGGCCTCAGTTTCCCCACTAGTGCAATAAAAGGGGTGGGCGAGGGTCCTGATATCTTCCTGAGGTCAAAACAAAACCGGACAAAACCCCATTTTCAAGTTTTTAAAAATGGAGACCACACACACACACACATACACGCACGCACACACACACACACACACACACACACACACACACATGCACGCTTGGTCTCCAGAGTTCCCTCTCTCCAAATGCTTTCCCGAGTCACCCCCCCCCCCGCCCCCTCATAAAAAAGCCCCAGCAGAGGATCAGTGGGGGCTTGGGAAACCAGAGCCCCAGTGCCTCTCAGGGGAGGCCGGGAGTCCGCAACCGGCTGGGGTGTGACCCGGTTGCCAATGAGCAGCCAGCGGCCTCTGTTCCTCATTTAATAACGTTCCTGGTTTGGGAGTCGGGAGTCCCATCGGTTAAATTGCTTTGAAATAAGTACCACGCTGGTCCAGGCCGGAGCTGCCCTGAGTATTCACAAGATCCGCTGACAGTCCTGTTTCCGCACACCCCCACTTCCACCTTTTTCTGTTTAACAAGCCTTTTTCTCCTCATTTGCCCAGGCAGCACCCCTCGCTGCCGACCCCTCCATCTGGGCCCACGTCCACCGGTGAGGTGTTAGAGGTTTGGCTGCGGCACCAGCGCGCTGCCGGTTTCATTACTAAGCAGCCTGATTTCAGTCGCCTGGAACCGCCCCCGTGTGGGTCTGCCCCTCGATGCTCTGTGTCTGTCCCCTGGGACCCGTCGTAGGGCACAGTGTTTGGGCAGCTCTGACGTCAGGCAGCCGGAGGGAGGTGACACCCCCTTTTTCTTGCTCTACAACCTGAAACCTGGCCCAGCCTTGAAATGTGAAAGTCATGAGAAGGGACTGACCCGGCCCAAGGAAATTCGATCAGGCTCAGAAGATCTGAGAGGTGTGGAGAGGTATCGATGACTGCCCATTGTGACCCGGAGCACGCCCGCAGAAAGGCCTAATCCAGGCAGAGGCTCAGGCGCTCCCGCTCCCCCAGGAGAAAGCAGCCTGTTTCTGCCAGAGGGAGGGAGCTGGGGGCGGGGGCGGGGTGGGCAGCGGTTACAGACCAGGCGCAGGAGCTGCTCCAGCCCCCTGGGTTCAGTTTCCTCCTCCGTAGACTGGAGATTGAACAGCACCTCCCCCACGGGCTGTAGCCATCTACTGAGATAAAGCTCGGGCCCCGCACACAGTCCCGGCTTCGTGAATGCCAGCTGGAGATGCATCCAGACGCAGGCCCGGCCATGGGTGGCCTCTCCTCCCTCAGCCCCAGCCCAGGCCCCTTTCATTCACTCACATGCTCCACTGAGCACCCCTGTGCCAAGTGCCTGCTGGGGAAACTGGGTCAGGGTCCTCCGTCAGGGCCCTTTGGACAGAGGAACAGGGGTGAGGCCTGGGCTCAGGGGACCCACACCCAGGCAGGGCGCAGGACTGATCTGAGGGGTGGGAAGGGAGGGATTCCAGGGTGGCCCTGGAGGCAGGACAGGGTGCTGGCCCCACATTTACCTGCCGCGTGGCCTGGGAAAGACCCTTGTCCCCTCTCGGCCTCACTTTCCTCACCTACTGAGAAGCCTGCCTCCCAGGACTTCAGCAAGGAGTAGATGGCACAGTGGCTGGTATTATTATTGTCATCATTATTGTTTGTCCTATTACTACTATTAGGAAGTAGAAAGTGGGGTGCCAGGCTTCTAGGCACAGGCAGGTATGAAGCCCAGATGTTGGGACGGACAGACAGAGCGGCCCAGGACAGCTGGTGTCGAGAGCTGACCATAGCAGCTGCTCAGAGTTGAGTCCTCCTCACCCCAACCCCTGGGGCCCAAGCTCTGGGTCCCCCTGGGCCCCTTCCTCATTACCGGAGACAGAAGCCTGGACACTGGCCAGGGGTCAGGGTGGGCTGTCTGAGCCACACCTTGTGCCCTCAGCCTAAGGCCGGCTGGGCACCTGAAGACCGCCATTCTACCACCCGCATCCACAGCCGCGTTTACCAGCCGTGGCCACCCACCAGGTGTCCACGATCTGGGCCGTTCCTCCTGGTCTCCTTGCCAGGCTGCTCACACCACGAGCTGACCTCTGAGCTCACAGTCCTCCGCCTCTCCGTCCCACTGCCATACCGGGTTGGGTGCCAGTTACAGGCGGGAGCCCTCCCGAGCAGCCTGGTGCATGACCAGTGGGGGTGAGGGCGTCTGGGGCCGCTGGGCCTCCCAGCCTTTCTCCTCCGCCTGTGAAAGGACGCTACAATCAGGGTCCCGACCCAGTGGCTTGAGGGGACATCAACTTGGAAGTCACAGCAGTTGTTTGCCAGCGTGGGCCCTTTAACCCGAATGGTGACGAATTTCGACCCATCTTCGAGGGGCCTAGACACATCTGTGACAGGCTTTGAAGAAGTGGCTCTGGCCTTGTTGACTCAGGAAAGTGCCGCTTACGAGGTATTTCTATGTGAAACAGAAGCCTGTCGCTAAGAGGGACAAGCTCTAACATTTTCTGTCCTCTTCTACTCCATTCCACTCTCTTCGACTTGAAAACTAATGCTGATCACAGCCCATTAAATTGATTTCTCCACCTGCCTACGGATCTCGACCTGCGGTATAAGAACTGGTGCTCTGGATGCGGCCGACCGTTGCCACGGGCTGTCCTTATCCCGTGGCTCAAACACTGACTGATCGAGTGTGCAGGGCACCAGCTCGGATCTCAGACTCGGAACCCGGCCTCGCCCTGAAGCCGATTACAACGTGCAACCTGCCGGGAAGTTCCAGGCGTGCGTGCACGGCAGCCGCAGGTTGCCTGCTGGTCCTCCCAGAGTCCAGGTGTGTGGAGAGGTTTTCTCTCATTCCAGAGCTCCAGGGCGAACTGCAGCTGTGGCTCCAGGTTCCTGGAAACCAGCTGAGCTTCAGGGACGCTGGATGGCAGGACATCACCACGCCGGAGGCCTTGAATACAGAGCAAGGATCGGCCAGACAGGAAGCTGCGGAGAGGGACGTGAGGAGAGGAGCGATGGGTCCACTTCCCCTCCTCTGCCCACGAACGCAACATGAATCCCTCTCGGGCAAAAAGTAGGGGGAAGGTAGAGAAACAAAATAATTACTTATTAATTCTGTGGCTAAAATATTCATTGGTCCAGCTCCTGGGGCATCTCCGTCGGGTTCTGGCAGCAAGGCGATTGATGGAGAAACACTGGCCGCCATGGCCTCCTGGGCAGCTGCCACGAATGGGAAGACAGACAGAGCCTGTTTCCTTGGTGCGGATGCTCAAAAGCCAGCTGCCCGGTGCGTCTTCCAAGTGCCGCTGAGGGCGGCCGTGCCAAGGGAGCGAAGGCCCACATGCTCCTGCAGATGGTGTTCGGCCGTTTGAAAGGAACAAGGACTGGCACTTGGGCGGAAGGCGGGAGGGAGAGTGGCGGGCTGTCCTGCCTGTCAGACGAACCCCAGGGGTCTGTCTCGCGCCCCAGAGTCTGGTTCCCACCAGGGCCCCTTCCTCAGAGAGGCCCCATCCAACCTGCTCCTTCTTTGCCAAGGTGCCAAGAGCATGGAGCCGTTGTCCTGAGCGCCAGAGCCTGGCTCTGTGGTCATCCCAGCACCAGCCAGTGCCTTCAAGGAGAGCCACAGCCCTCGAGGCCACCATAGCCTGGGGATAGGGGTTCATGCACCCATTTAGCAGATGAGAAGACTAAGGTTTGGAGAGGTGGGGTGACCTCTGCAAAGTGGGGTGCCTCAAGACTGGGGTGCTGGGGCCCACTGAGGCCAGAAGAGGGGGGCTGCCAGTGCACACATACAGACCGAGGGGTGCCCTGTGGCTGAGGGGGTGGACAGTGCTCCCCCATGCCCATGAGCCCACGGGGCCCTCACTTTAGTTGAGGCAGGCCAGTCCCAGGAAGCGTCCTGGGCCAGCACCCAGGACACCCAAGTTCTATCCGGACCGCAGCCAATAGGCTGTATGACCATTTAAGTCTTGGCATCTGTCTTCTGCAAAACGAAAGGGTTGCTGCCCATGTGGTGTCCCTGGGCTCACAGGGGTGACTCTGGCTCTCAGAAAGCTCACAGCCCAGGAGATATGGATGCACAAGCCAGCAGAGGCAGGGCAGAGCAGCTTCCAACCTGGCATGTTCCTTCGATCTTTGTGCCTGAGTTTTCTCATATGTAAAGCGAGGATTATAACAGCTCCGGCTCACAGGGATTCCATGATTGTTAAGTGTCCTGGTTGATCCACAGAAATCCATAATAGTAACAATTGTTGTTACATTTGCTGGGCGCTCAGAGGAGCAGGAGTCATCCCTGGGTTTGGGAAGGGGGTCCTGGAGGGCCTCCTGGAGGAGGTGCTCAGCTGAACTGTTGATTGAGTAGGGTGTTGGCAGGTGATCAGAGTTGCTGAGGCCCAAGGTTTGGGGGCTGGGTGGCTCCAAACTCTTATGAAGCGGGGAGAGGGTGTCTCTGCCATCTTAGAATGAGTCCTCAGGAAACAGCATCCGGGATTTTTTCCTGGACTGATGAAGCCACTGTGGAAAGCAGTTATCATCGGCAGGATGGTGGCAGCCACCAGCCTCTGATTGGGGGCGGGGAGGACTGTGGCAGAGGCAGATTCTCCTTTCTAAAGAACAAAGAACTCGAATGTGTGAACGAATACAGCCCTTCAAAGGCGGCCCCTAGGGAGGCTCTGCCTGCTTTCCTGGGAGGCAGTTGCTCCTTAAATCCTGTCTGGACTCCTCTGGACAGCAGCCTCAGGGGGCCTCCGGTCTTGCTTGCTTGCCGTCAAGAGCACAGGTTCCAGAAAAGGCCAAGCTGAGTGCAAACCCTGGCTCTGCCTTTCACGGGCCGTGTGACCTTGGAATGGTCACGGACCATTCCAAGCCTGTTTTCCTCTCTATAAAAAGCCCTATCAGCCACCACTTTGTTAACCTGTAGGGTCTCAGCGAAGAAGCAAGGAAGTGAGTAAACCAGGCTGTGCACAGTATGTCTAACCAACATCACCTCCCTCCACTTCAGAAGCAGGTGCCAAGTCCAGAAGGAAGTGGGCTCCCACCTTGTTTTTGACTGAAAATGGTACCCCCGGGCTTGGCACCCCGCCATGCTTCCCCGACTTGGCAGTCGGCGCCTGGCACACAACACTCAGAGCTGCCATTTATCAAGTGCCGAGACACCGGCTGAGCCGCACGTGCGCTACCCCAGCTACCTTAAACGTTTGAAATATCCAAACTGCTCTGGACGGAGGCAAGCTTTCTGGGCGCAGATCAGTCAGAGGAAGGTGGGGGTGTTGTGACCGCCACGGTCATTATTAGCGCGTGTGCCCGCTCCAAACACTCCCCAGGGCAATAGGAGCCAGTGTCAAGCCAGGATGCAGCTTGGGGACACGGTGGCCACTGATGCCACAGCATGTCTGCCTGCCACTACAGCCTCTGGTGGATTCCAACTCCAGTCCGGGGTCCCCGGCTGGGGGTGCACGGCCTCTGCTGGGGCTGCCTGGGAGCAGGGGAGCATTTCATCTCTGCCTGAGCCTAATCCCACAGCCTCGCTGGACTCTTCTCCTGGTGGCTGCTTTGATGTTTTCTAAGTGAGGGAAGGATTTTCCTCCCCGCCTGGGGAGCTCAAATGGGGGGGATGGGGCTCGGTATGGAGGGGAGTGTTTCTCTCTCAGCGGAGCCAATTAGAGTCATATCTGAGCCACTGACCCTACACGACAGTCAAACACCTGGCAGAGCGCAGTCGCCTGCAGATCGGGGGTTTGGGCCACTCAGCTCATGGCGTTGGGGACAGTTGTCTGCGCTGTGGATCCGAGTGGAGGCTCAGAGCAGAACTGATTCTGTTGCAGGTCCCTGCAGTGTGGGATGCTGAGCTGGACCCGATTTCTGTAACCCCAGCTAGTAATTATGCCAAGACGAGGGTTTGGCAATCAGGCCTAGGCGACAGCGCCCCTAGGGGCATATCTCTGTGGGGGCAATCAAGACAGAGAGGCAGGATGGTGGGGGGACCCCAAGCAGGACCCTCCTTCTGACCACTGAAAACCCTCATGGGGCTCTGGCATGGCCACCGGGCTCCCCAGGCCCTGCAAGGAGGCTAAGCAAGATAGGAGGGCTACCCTGCTGGCCAGATGAGGAAGGGGATGCCCCACGAGGGGATGTGACATTTCCAGTCTCATAGGGTG